TTATATGGCAGGAAGTGCGTCTGCTCTGGGGTCCTCTCAGCGGCCTTTCTTCCCAGGGATGGCAAGGCTCGGGGGATGCAGGCCTTTTGGGTACCTCAAACACACTGGATGGGACTCTGCGGGGAGGGAAACAGGAGGTGAGGAGGCCGCCAGTGCCGCTAGGACCATTCAAAGCCGCCAACGTAAGGCGCGGAACCCCGGCGGCAATCAGAGATAAGCCCCCAGTTTGAGGCCCCAGAGAGCCCCCCAAAGGAGCCAATGGAGCACGGGGTGCTGTGTCGCCCTGTGGGTTAGCGGGCCCTTCGAGAACCGTACCCACCTGGGGGCCCCTAGAGAGGGGTTCCTTACTTAATTCATGGGAAGGACATGAATTATCCTCTGGAGAACGGGGCACTTCAGGGGACTTGAGAGGTGTGTAGCTGCACGCTTGGAAAACCTGCTGTCGTGTGGGGCTGCTTTCTTCCTTAGCGAGGGAGTCGGTCTGAGGGCCCCCGTCTTCCCCGTTGAGCAGCTCTTTATCAAGCACATCTGTTGCAGCGAAGCAATCGCTGCTGAGAGCCTCCCCTGTCAAGGCATCGCCTGTAAGGAGACCCCTTAGCGTCTGCAGGTGCCTGAGGATGCGGCCTCCAATAGCCGCTGGGCTCTCGGGTGGGAGTGGCTCTGAGACTCCGGGATGGAATGCGGCGTCGTTTGAAGCACTGCAGGTTTCCACAGACACCTCAGGCGAGAATTCCGGCATGGATGAGGCCAGACGCAATTCGTGCGACTTGGTTTCCGTGTAACTGTCCTGGCTGTGGACTTGCGGGGGGTCGGGGCCTATGGTAAATGTAGTGGGGACCTGGTGGAGGCTATGGAGGGGCCCCTCGCAACAGTCAGCGTCGACACGGGTGTCACTCATTTCAAGGGTCACAAGAGAACTCAGGGGCTTATCCCGCCTGGGTGCACTTATGCAGCGGAAGGGTCTGCTGCAGTCGCTGGTATTCCTCCTGCTCACGGTAGTGCTGCAGCCTGCAACCTTGTGTTGCATTGTGCTGTATGTGGTGTCAACATATCCTGTCTCTCCTGCTGTACCCAGCGATTCCCGAAGCGTGGAGTCCCGTGGCAACCACCCTGAGCTATCGTATTTTGGCTCTCGAGGAGTTATTGGCTGGAGCTGCGTCGGTCGCAGTTGTTGCAGTGAGGCATGCTGCTGCTGTCGCTGGTGCATTAGCAGGATCGCCTGCTGCTGGAGTTCCCCGGGGGTAGGGCCCACAGGGTCTGCCCATCCGGTGAGTCTTCTAAATGTCTGGTGATAGCCCGTTGTGTTAAGCCGTCGCACGCTCTGAAGGCTTTCGGCGGATGATCCTGAGTGCCCATTAGGCGCTCTGAATGCAGCACTGCTAGACAGTCTTCGCACTAGCCGCGGCTGGAGAGTGGGAGCTTCCCTCACAAAGGGATGAAGAGGCCTACCGGGCAGTACGTAGGGTGCCGGCATCTCGTTCTCTCGCTGTATCCAGGGTCTAGGTGCCCCTAATTGTGGCCTGTCCCACAGTGCGGTCCCCCAAAGCTGGCTTTGGGGGGGCACGGCAGGCAAGGGGAGCTCAAGCAGGCCCTTGGTGAACTGCCTGTGGGGCCGTGGGATTTGAAACCAAGGAGATACGAACGGAGCGCTGTACTGTACGTTGTGTGTTCCAGTACCAGCCGGCGAAGCACTGACATAGCCCGTTGAGGCCTGTTGCCATACTGTTTCGCTTGCGTAGGGGGAAAACTGAGGAAGTTGAGTACTATAGAATTTCAGAGGATGCTCTACGGAAGCCTCTGATACTGCGCCGTGCCCACTACTCGGGTCCTCTACAGCCTCGCCGCCCTCTGCATCGAGTCCCCTGGTAACGCCACACTGTGAAGGTCTGATGTGAAACTGAAGGAGGGGCGGTTGCTCAAGGGGTGAGCCCGTCTTCCATGCAGCAGAGTGGCCAGTGGAGTCCTGACGGGTGTTTTGAATTTGCGGTTGAGCTTCAAGGCGGCTGAAGTCACCAGTCTGTATGCTCTCGGCTGCTGGTAAGTTCCATTCCACGGAGGCTTCAAGGAGCCCCTCATGGTCTCGGAGGTAGGGGTCTGGTAGTTCCTCTGCTGCACTGGGTAGCTCAGTGGCCAATGTCGGTTCGTCCACCAATGGCTTATTTGTGCAGGGAGATGGAGTGTTTGCATCTCTCAGCTGGTCATTTAGGACCGCATCGGCCTGCAGCCTTTCAATGGCTGCCTGATATTGGATCTCTCCAGAGTGTCTCTCGGGCCCCAGTGCCTCCCTTAGAAGAGAGCCTTTCTCGCGCAGAAGAGAACGCATGGTCAGGGGCATCATTGACTGCTCCTTATAGTTCAACACTTTCGGGGTCCCTGAGGTCACTTGGCCTTGTGCCTTTGTGACATTATAAGGACTACGCAGCCCTCCGGGGGGACCCCATTCATGGGATTCCCTGATGTTCTCAAAGGATTTCCAGGAAGTCGCTGGATAGGCGCTTGTCTGGGGTACGAGGCCTAACTTATTCTTCCCGCCAAAGTCCTCCGTGACGAATGAAGTGGACAAGTGCCTTGAGGAGGGGCGCTCCTCCTCATGGGTGCACGCAGCAGCATCCGCTTCACTCGTAGAATCCATCCCTTGAGTGTACACCTTGCATGACGTGTCGGTTGTTTCGTGTGCATCGGAAGCCTCTTTCCGCCTTAGAAGGCGGGCTCCTTGCATGTGCTTGTACGCAACTGCTGCACACATTTTACGCTAAAAACAGCACACGTTGGAGAAATCCTCTGGGGCCCGTACCTGTCTTCTTGTATCTGAAATGCAAGGCTTTGTGGCTTCGTTTACTGGAACACGCACATATGAGGCTGCGCTGCCTAAATGGCCCTCTCAAAAACGACGTCCTTGTGTGCACCAGCTAGGGCGTCAATGACCCATTCGAAACCTTAGGAGCCCCTACGGGCCCTCGAGCACCTCGCGACAACAATAGTTTAACAGGGTAAGACCATAAACTCCGGAACGTTCAGGGAAGGAGAATGAAGGCAACTGATCTTGACCGCATGGAAAGGGACATACGAGGGACACTGACCGAGCAGCACAGAGAGCTTCTGCTCTCCATCTGGAATCACCTAAACAATATCGAAGCATATTAGATTATGATATTATTTAGGGTTTTTATTCAACAGGAACAACAGAGTAAAGGACGAGCGGAAAAACCCGTGGCTGTTTGCCGTGTCGGCAGCGGCCCTTCAGAGCCGAACTGGCCTAAGAAGGGGCCCTGGGCCCCGCCACCTCCCCCCTCCCCGTCCATTTAACTTCTCTGCGAATCTCTCACCAAATCTTTTTCGTAATTGGATGTGCAAACATATGGGGGCTTACTTTGAGCCTTCTGTGTTGTGGTGGACATCTTCCTACCCGTGGTTGTGAGACTGGGGCAGGGCGTTCAATGGTTCGGACACCTCTGGAGGGCCTCCACGACCCAAGAGGAAAGGAGGGAAGGGGATACAAAAAGAAAAACTCCAGTATTTCATATTCAAATATCTATACGCCGAGCGGTCTGTACAGCTTAATGCCCTAGCTTTTCCCTCCCTAACGTCGGCGGATCCGTGGCAGCTAAGCGCAGGCAGCGAAGGAAGTAACTTCATATTCATATAATAATATATACCCCATTCCCTTGACTAAGCCTTAATTTTTGGTCAGATTGTTTCTTCTCTTGCTCTCCGTATTTCTGTGTACTAGGGTGTCCAGCCCGCCACTTTCTAACACTTCTTCGGTGGATGCATATCCGTGACCAGCGGCTTCGACCGCTTGATCCCCCGATTGTTGCCCGTAAGTACACGGCGTCTACAAGCCACCTTTTACCACCACTGTCGGAAGTCTTTCTCGCTGTTCGCTTCATTCTATGGATGGCCCAAAGAAGCCCTAACACCCCCCGTTGACTCCCTAACGAGGAATCGTGTGTAGAAACATACATGCAAGGGCCTGGAGCGCCTTGGCTGTAGAGAACAATAGTACTAAAGCCCAAAAGGGCCCTGAATATTGATCTATTGCGCTGAAGGCCCTTTTCCGGCTTAACGTGAACTGCCTCCCTCTGCTATTGAAAAGTCGTCCCTGTATCCCCTTTTTCCCCATAGCCTTCTAAACTCTACTAATCAAAATACCGACTTTCCTTTTTCTCAGGGCATGTAGAAGTTTCTAGCCCTCAGAATAGCGGAGCCCGAAAGCGCAAGGGCCTTCGCACCCCCGATGAGGCGAACATGCCACGAAAGACAACTCCGTGCAACCCCGCCCCCCCACCCCGGCAGTTTTTCTTGCTCCTGAGCGTTTGGGCTCTATTAAAAAGCAAACCGGGATTTTAGCTTGAAGTAGCAAACGAAAAGCTTAGCTACCCGTCAGAACGTCTTTGGTACCTCACGCCTTGTCTAACTAGGCCCTTGCGTGCTGCACCTGGTTCGCATACCAACATTTCAACTTTGCGCCACATCTTCATCCTTCGTGGAAAGTGGCATTAGTGGAGGGCGCACAATGCACTCCATATGTACAGACACGTCCAAGTGCAAAACTGTAGCTGAGTCTCAGGATAGTCCCCCTCCCCAGCACCTAATGCACACGAAAGTCCTATACAGAAGTCATTTGCTGGGCTGCTGCGGGCCTCCGTGGGCCTCTCTGCAATCCAAATGCGATGGGCTCCTCCGTGCGTCGCTAGGCTTAGAAACAACACGGAAGGCAAAAGGATACATTGACGGCACCTGACAGATATGCGCCGTCTTCTTTAAGGTACAACTCGTGCTGCAGGAAAAGCAACAGAAGAACGGGTCAGGGGGATCACATGAGTTGATTCCAGAAGAAGACTACCACAACGGGCATCAAGAGGCTCCCAAATACCAAGAAGCAGCATCCGCCCCGCAGGATGGTGGTCTGCTGGCACCTGTGCGACAGCGAAAACCCCCGCCGCTGTTTTGCATTGCATTAGGCAGCTTGCGCCACTCTCCGTGTACCCCCTTGAGCATCACATGGGGAAAACAGCTGGGATTGGACTCAGTCCGTTGGAAGCTAGAGGAGGTCGACTATCCGTCATAGTAGCAGCAAGAGCAGCAGAGAGCTGCTGCGCCCCTGCCTCCTGCTGCATTCTGTAGCGCATCCACCTCACGCGTGCTGCTGCTGCCTTCTGAGATCTCACACGCTCTGCGTCTGCCTCATCCACAGGGGCCCCTTGCCGAGGGGGCCTCGCCCTGGGCTTGGGCCGCTTAGCCGGTCCCCCCCACTCACCACTGCCTCCTGAGTCGGTCAGGGGGCCCCAAGGGGCCTCCACCTGGCCAAAAGGGGGCCCCCCCACTGGATTTTGCGAGGCATGCCAATCGCCCCAAGGGCCCCCAGGGCCCACCGCGTCTCCAGATAAGTGAAGGGGGGCCCCTGCTTCTGATGTCATTCTAGGAGGAGGTGCCCCAAGGCTCTGGGAGCAGTCGAAGCCGTTCGACGGGCTGGTTGTATTCGCGTTTACTCCTGTCTCGGGAGCTGCAGCGGCAAATCCCGCAGCCCCCTCGCTTTCGCAGGAGGCAGCGATGGACTGCAACTGCTGGAGTCTCATCAGGGCAAGGTTGCCAACGTCTGCTTCATCCTCTGCAGTCCACAAGCCAGGGCAACTCTGAAGGAATTCCAGCGACGTCTCGGTACCGGGGAGAGGCCCTGCCAGAACGCAGAGCCTCTCCCCCAAGAGCAGCTGGCATGCTGCCCATCGCCGCGCCAGCAGCAGTGCTTGCTTCTTCTTCGCCGGATCCGAAGGAGAGAAGAAGAAGCAGGTTCTCCCCAGAGCGGTACCAGCCTCAGGCCCCCGCAACGCTTCCTCTGTTGGTGCTGCTAGAGCCACGCGCCACCGATAGGCTGCATGCTCCCACACGCAAGCTAATAGAGACCGCGAACTCAGGCTCTGCTGCTGGAGTACACGCCCATCCCCGCCGTCCCCCGGCTGCACCACCCATGCTGCGGGGGAATCGAGGGGCCCCTGAGGGGCCCCCAAACCGCATAAACCTGCGGGAGCTCCCCAGCCACCGCCGCTAGAGGGATCGACTGGCATTGGAGGAAGAAGAGCGCCGTCTTCCGAGCGACTGCTCCGAAGAGCAGCAGCTTGTGCTGACTCCTGCTGCTGTTGCTGCTGCTGTTGCTGCTGCTGTTGCAGCAGCTGGTGCTGCTGTTGCTGGTACGTAGAAATAGCCTTTGGGGGGGCCCCTGTGTTCCTTTTGCGCTTGTTGCTGGGCCTTGCGTGCCCCGCACTATCCCCAACGAGGGCCTCGACAGCATCGGCAGCTGCCTCCGCAAACGAGAGGTCTGGACACCCTCCCCTCCAGCCGCCTTGCTGCAGGAGGTGTTGCCACTTCAGCCTCCTGCTTTGCCGATCTGCCGGAGGCACGGGCAGTCCCTCCACTGCTTGTTGAGGAGACTCGACGGGCTCAGGGAGGGGCAGCAAGCCAAAGACTACTGCGGCGAGCGCAGGGATGCGATACCGCGACGTTGCGGGAGGCTGGGGGATCAGGAGCTCTGAAGCCAGGCGGGCCTGCGGCAAAAGCAGTTGTGAGGAAGGCAGACACGGCATAAATGCAGAGGATAACGTAGCGGGACAGAGCGAGAGAGACGGAGCGAGGAACACTGAGCAAAAAGAGAGAAGAGCAGCCCACGAGAAAGCGTGGATACGAGGAACGATGTGGCCTGCATGATACAATATCCCAAGGGCATGCTTAAAAACCGGTCGACGATCCAAGCATACCTGCATGGCCAAAAGCTTGCTTTGGTAGAGGCCATACTTCCTGCAGCTAAAGGTGCGACTGCGATTCTGCTGCTGCGATGTTTGTGGCTTTAGGCTTCCTCCCCCCGGAGTTGACAACGCGCCTAGCCACTTGGGGGGCACGCCAGTTGCTGGGGTCTTAGGTGAGGCCAAGCCCTGTTGCTGTTGCTGCTGCGAAAGCTGTTGCTGCTGCGAAAGCTGTTGCTGCTGCGGGAGCTGGTGGTGTTGCTGCTGGTGCTGTTGTTGCTGCTGCTGTTGCTGCAGCTGTCGAGCAGGAGCAGACCCTTCCCTCCAGAGACAGCGGAAGGCCAGCTTGCTCTTGTCGAATTTCACACCGTCAGGAAGCGTGAAGTCTACAGGGCCGACCCCTGCCACCTGCAGTACTTCTTCTCGGTACCCTGTTATTGCTGCTGCTGGAGGAGATCCTGGTGCAGACGTTCCGACAGGGGAAGGCTCAAGGGGGGCAGTGCCGGAGAGAGACGATCCCACAGGCCGCGAGCCACCCCCACCTCCTCCTCCCGTCCCTCCTGCTGACGCGGAGACATTTCCTGAGCCAGCAGCAGGAGCTTCCGCAACAGGCATCAGCCCTGCAACTCCCATGGCAGAATCTTGACTTGCGGTCGATTGGCATGCCGCTGCTGAGGGGTTCGTAGCCATGTCTCTCTGGTCTTGCGCCATATACAGCTGCAAAAGCAATCGGTTCTTCTGCAGCAACACCGCGTCGTCTGCCGGAAGCTCACGAGCACCCGTTTCGGTAGCAGCAGCCCCCAAGCGATCGCAGAACGTATGCGCCAAATTAAGCAAGTAGTTTATCGCCTCCGATCCAGCGGGGCAAGCAAACCACTGAGGAAGGCGACGACAGCAACACACAGCGCACACAGGGACCCGCAAGCGCACCGCGTGAGTTACCCAACAAAATCTCCGATACAGGGAAACCAACAAACATCTAATAGAGGCGGTTTCATTTACTTTACCCAGCCAAGCAGCCACACATACACACCACTGCGGACAGGCACGCTGTAGACAGAAGTGGACTCAATAAACAGACTGCATATGCCACCCAACGGTGCCGCAGTCGCAACAGCCACGGCTGCAGCCAGCGGCCACACAGCATGCGTCGGACCCCACCAGGAGAAAGACTCACTGAAGAGACGTCGTTCGAATATCCGCATACCCAGATGAGAAAGTTGGAAAAACACAAAAGCCGCAAGTCCCAGGTCAAAAGACAGTGCAACTGCAGCAGCAACAAAAGCGCAGCCGCAGCCCAAGCAGCATCACCTAACTACATCATGACCACTACCCCACCTACGAGGGGAACGTAGTGGAGGATCACCGGCGACAGAATAAAAAAAAAAGCCTTTCCCTCAGAAGCCCCACGAACGCGAAAGCAGCCAACAAAGGGCAGCCGAGAATGCAATAGGAGACAGAGACACGAAGAACAAGATGCGACAACGAAGAAGCAAGCAAGACAGATCAAGTACTCGAAAGACGGGCAATAGGTTACGCCTAAAGAAGCATACACATCTAGATATAAATACGGGGAGGGAAGATACACGGGGGAGGCGTTGCGTGCTAGCAGGGGCGTCGCATAAACGTCATGAGAGAGACGACCTTCTTACCATGATATACAGTTGGGGATATGTGAAGATGTTTACGACTGCATCTCTGACTCGCACTACTTTCTGCAGCAGCACAACAACAAATCCACGCAAATGTGTGTCCTCGCGGCTGCAAAACTCAATCGAGCGAAAGCCGCAACACCACGAGCTTTCCCTTAGGCACCAGCTAGCAGGCGGAGCACGGACTAAGGGGCCGCTGCAGATCTCGCAGCAGAAAAAAACAGCAGGCCGCTCACGTCGTCACTTTGTACAGCAAAAGTCGGCTCGACAAACAAGTCGTAGAGCTGACGCAACTCTTTACGCCTCTCAGAATCCGCAGCCACGCCGAAGGAGGTCGGCACTGGAGGGGTTAAGCCCTGAAGGGCCTTTAAAGCTGCGTCCTGCGAAAAGAAAGAATCAACCTTCGCAGTGCAAGTGCTTTTTGCCAGTCACACCACCAGCAAACAGTGCCGGCAGCATTGGCACTAATGGGGCCTCCAAGGGTAAAGGCAGCGTCTGTAGGTGCTGTGCCTACTCGGTTCTGCGGCGAGTCGTAGAGCAGCAGATAGTCCACTGGCGCAGCCTCGGAATCGCGTCGGGGTTCCTCGATGAGATCATCGAAACCCCTGGTCATCAAGGCTGCAGCCTGAGAAGACGCAGACACAAAAAGGAGAAACTGGCGAGCCTCAAGGGGAAGCAGAAGTCGGCGAAGGCCACCGCGACATAATCCAACGGCAGGAGAGGTGGAGGGAAGCAGGCAGAGAAGGAGCAGTGGGCTCACCATGCGCAGCTGCCACGAGTCTCCCTTTTGCCTCTGTGTGACGCGAATAGCCCAGCTAACAGCGCTTCCTGGGGCCCCAGTAACTCGGGGGGGCCCCGTAGTAGTCTCGCCAGACTTGCCACCGGAGGTGGACCCCACCCCTTCGGCTAGAGCGTCGTCTCTCGTTGATGCAAGACATGCCTTTCCAGCTGAGCCGTCCGCTGGAAAATCCATCCAGGGGCCCTCAGCGGCGGATGCTGAATCAGAGGTAGCCTTGTCAGGAATGCCGTGCACCTGCATCGGAAGCTCTCCTATGGGGGCTTCAACAGAGAAGCACATGTATGGGGATCTGCAAACAGGAGGCCTCGGCCAAGGTTTGGCGTCTGGGGGGTCCCCTGTGAAGGGCGAATCTTCGCCCTCACCGGCTTCCCTATAAGGGAAGCCTGCAGCTTCCGCCTCTGCTGTCGCTGCCGCTGCTGCAGGAGCCGGTGCTGCCTGGGGAGCTGGCACCGGCGATGCTGGTGAAGTGCTGCACTTCTTCATCCCCGCCAGCGACCCGCTGTCCTCTTCGTCTGCTGCCGCTCCATAGGAGTTCAAAGGCCCTCCAGAGGGGAAGGGGCCCCCGTACTTAGGAGGCCCCTTAGGCCTGTTGGGGGCCCCCCTCGCTACCGGGGGCAGGATCGCCGAGGCAAAAGCACGCGGCGTAGGGGCCTCGTCCGCCGCGTCCTGAGTACCCTCCGCAGACAGGCGAACTCCAGGGGGCACTGGCGCTAACCTGTGCCGCCAGGGAGGGTCACTTAAGGGAAAAGGCGCCCCCCGAATAATCGTGTCTGCAGCAAACCAGCATCCCTGAGAAGCAGCAGCGAAGAGCTTGCCTCCCTGCTGCTGCAGCGCCACGCGCTGCTGGCGCAAGAGTAGCAGCTGCAGGCCCTCCGCGGCCTCCTGCAGCAGTCGCATCGTGCCTTTGCTGTTGCTGCAGCCCTTCTTGCCTTGCGTCGAGGCACCACGAGGTGTCGCGTCTCTCTCTCCGTCCGTCTCTCCCTCGTCTGAAAGAAGACTCGCTGCTTCAGTCTCGTCCGGAGACAGCGACGCGCACTGCTTCAGCTCTGCGTATCGCGCCACCACGGCTGCTGCGCGGTCTCGACTTCGGCAGAGGCAATAAAAGATCTTCCTCCTGCTAACACACTTGGTGCTTTGGCTCGGGTTGCTGCGGCTTGGACTGGAGCTGCTGGGGAGTTCAGTAGGCCTTTCGCTGAGGGTCACCACAAAGGCGCTGCGCCTACCATCGAATGCAAGCTCCTGCAGGATCCAAGGGCCTCCTCCCTCTTGGTTGCCGGCTGCATTGAAAAGCGTCCCCCGCCTTGGAGCCCCTTCCGCGTCAAGGGGCCCCTCCGCGGGGGAAGCCACGTCTGACCATGCCAATGGGGAAGGCGGAGGAGCTGGTGGAGAGGACTCCTCGAGATCTTCTCCTTCATCTACGACGTCTGGAGGGGCCGCTGCTACGCCCCCCGGCAAGGCCGCCAATGGCAGGAGCCACTCGGGGTGGCTCAGGAAGGCGTCTTCTGAGGAGAGCAAGGCTGCTTTTTGTTGTTGGCGCTGCTGCGTTCCACCCTCAGAGTGCACATGAGACAACGCGGAAGAAGAGAGCTCTCCCTTCGAATGCGCTGCTGCCTCAAGCGGCTGCGAAGCCTTCCGAGAAGCCCCCACAGATGCACCGTGAGCCTCGACCTCCTCTGCTGCGAGAAGGAGAGGCGGCACGCGGCGGCAACAGCGATTTAGGTTGTAGGCTGCTAGGGCAGCTCGCCGTAGCTCCACGCGAATACGCTGCTGGAGAAGCTCTCGCTCCTGCGGTTGGTCCTGCTGGCGGTGCTGCGGTTCCCCTATGCCCCCGGATGCCGCTGTCAACCCAGCCTCAGCCTGCGAAGACAGCTGCAGAAGGACTGCTCTGCTCTTGAGAAGCTGTCGCAACAGGATCTGCCTTCTCTTCCTCATGCGCCTGCGCTGGTCTTCGCCGCTTCCGCTGAGGCCCCCTGAGACACCGCCGGCCTCTCCCTGCTGCAGGGGCCCCAAAAGGGGCCCCAAAAGAGGGCAGAGCAGATTTCCGCTGTAGGACAGGGAACTTGCGCCTTTCGAAGGGAGCGAGTGCCACTGCTGCAGCCCCTCGGAGGGCCCCAAAGGCGTCTGTGGAGGTGGAGAGTTGGCCTCGCGACTCCCCGAAAAGGAATGCGTCTCCTGCTTCTCCAGATCGCGGCCAGCCACGCCATCACAGACCCTCTGTGCGGCAAGAGGCAGCAGAACCTCCAACAGCGCGCACGACTCCCCCACAGAAAGCTGGGGGCCCTCCCAATTCGCTGCCCCGACCCCGACACCATCCGCGCCTGCCTCGACATCTTCGACGGGCTCTTCAACAACTTCGGGGGCCCCTTCAAGGTCTTGTGAGCTCAGACCTCCCCCTCTCAAAGCCTCCCAAGCCTCCCCACCAAGCCGGGCCAGCTGGGCCGTAACTGCACTTTCCAAAGGAAATGCAGGATTCAAGGCCTTTTCACCATCCCCAGATAAGCCTCCCTGCTGCCTCGAGTGCGAGACTCCATCTCCATCGAGCCCGGAGACACAAGGGACCCTCGCTATCTCAGATCGTAGCCACTGAACAACGCCAGGGGGCATCAGAGACTGTAGGAGCCGAGGCAGTGCAGCGCCAACAGGCCCCGATGAGGTCAGTGCTGTGGATGCTGATACTTCGCAGCTATCTGCTAAAGTCCCCAGACCTGGGAAAACAGGGGACCCGGTGTCGGGGGCCCCCGTGCTTTCCATTTGTGGGCCTCCGGTGCCACCTCATGGCCGTCACGGCGGCCCTGAGGAGGTGTACATACACCCGGTGGGGCCCTGTATTCGGCGCCCAGTTTCAGCGAGCAAGTGCCCCCTTTGAAGGGCGCAAGTCCAGTGCTTCGTTGTGCGGCCCCCCGCTGCGGCAAACCGCTGGATGGGCCTCTTTCGCCCTCTTACAGGGGAGATGGGCAGCTGAGAGCTAAGTATTGAATTAATCCTTATTTGAACACGGACACGAATGGCTAACTAACGCCCACGAAGCCCCTGGGGGCCCCAGGGGCCACCAGGCCGTCCGCCGTCCGGCGAGCACTAAGGACAGCGGCACGTTTGCCCTAGGTACTGGTCTCCTTAGAGGGCCTCCTATTCGCCGCGAGGCCTTCACATGGCAAATATCAAACCAGATTAGGAAAAATGGGGGATATAGGTTACTCTGTGGGGCAGTAACGAAGAATAGAGCGGTCGAATGCCCCTCAGCCGTAGACGGCAGTGCATGCACGTGCAACTGTCGTCCTAGGGACCATCCTGTCGCTATAGAGCCCCTCTTCAACAATGAACTCACCAAATGGTACAGTGCTATTGGGGTGGGCCTCCTGAAAGCTGCCGAGTCCTCACACTGGAAGGTAGGCTTTCAGAACTGATAGCCAAGGTCTCCCCTTCACTCCGGTAGCTAGGGACTTGTATAGGGGTCACAGAAGCACAAAGTCATGGGTGTAGCACTCATCTGGGGCATAGAGGTCGTCATGAAAAGTGGTGGAGGGCGTCCGTTGTAGTGCGCCACGTCACGCTTTGGCATCTCCTGCCGCGCAAGCGTTGTGTAACTACGAACGAGCGAGTAGCATATGGACTCATTGATTTGGTTCTTGATATCTGGTCCTTGCTAATGTGTAGAGTTGGTTCCACACAGTGCGAACTACCGCTGTGTGCGTCGAGCTACTACCTGCAACCAGATGCAGAAGCGCGGCGTGCTCAGAACTGCCTAAACACACACTCCAGCTCTGATTTCTCCCTTTTTGCCGGAGGCCTGTGGAGTAACGAGTACAAGTTGGGGGGGCACTCTGTGGAGTAGAATATGATGTAATATCCTAATTTACGTTTCGGCAATGGATTTGTGGCTAAGGATGACCCTTGAAAAATGCACTAAAAGCAGAGCTGCTCCTACAGTCGACGTAGCTGCCTCGGTTATTGACTATGAATGTATGACGTGATTATGTCGGCTAGCATTACCCCCAGTGCAAGCGGAGAACGGAATTTATGCGGCCCTGTTGCCAACCTCTCTGCGTAAGCCTCCCGCACTTCCTCTTCTTGGTTTGGGGTATGTCACTCGTCGCTACTCAGGCAATATTTGGTTTTCCATATAATTCCATGTGACCCCTTCCTCCAAAAGTCTTTCTACCTTGATATAATGCCCCACGACAAACTCGCTTACAGCCTGCTGGTGGAGGTCCCTGCCCACTTCCGTCTGCCTCAGTCTCCCCACATCCCCAGAGGCCAAGCTTGTCTTGTCATGTAGCATGCTACTATACAAGTCATATGTAGCTGTCTGGCCGCCTCAATCAAGTATTTGATGTTTAAGCCAGTTTCTGCGCCCCCTTGTGCTTTTCCATGTCTATAAGTAAAGTCCTCCAGCTCCGCCACATACCTTCGCTGCCCCTAAGCGCCCCATGTATTCTAGCAATCGCAGTCCAGCAGCATGCCACACAGATTAAATTGCAGAGGATCGCCATGAAGAGATGCTTCCATGATCCTTGTGTGTATGCTAATGGCAAGCACCCTCTCCTCCACCCCTGGTGGGACGCACAATACGGCCACGAACCACTAAGGCCACAGCCTCCTGATAGCCTACTCTACCTCCAAGACAAAATATGCCTATGCTTCTAGTCCTTACCAGCAAGGTAAAAGATATAGTCCCACGAACTATCGCTCGATAAAGACATTCAGGCGCCATGAATGAAATCATCTCTGGGCGCACTTTGCATTCGCACTAGCCGCTGGAGTCCCCAGACTACAATCTCGGTACTTTCGCACGTTCGTGAGGCCAATCGCATACCCACTGGGGAGGAATTCACGGCGTGCGAGGGCCTAGACACCTCGAGTGGATTCACAGATACCTACCTCGCAGGTCGAGGGCCAAATGCACTGCTTGTTCAATAAAACCCCTAGAAAGACAAATACTGGATGACTTTACAGCGAGAACTCTCCCGGAAGAAAGAGAACTAAAGGGGGCTCCCCCTTATTTGTGGGGCGAGCCCCCTTTAGTTCTCTTTCTTCCGGGAGAGTAGTGGGAGCCGAGATCGTGGCGCGCGATTTCAGTCCGTCCGCTGTGACAGTTTACCTTGAGGCTTCAAAGTAAGAACACGCACTCGACGGTCATGAGAAAGCGTGACGGAGGATGGCTGTGTAAGCTGGAAGAATTCCCCGTCCGTCTGAGTGCACGCCCGACAGCAACGGTGAGGCAGGCAGGCACCACGCGTCCACTAGTGTGTCTAAAAGGCCTCCCTGATCTTCTGTCGCCTACTGCAGCCATAGAAGCAAAACCTCGGTGAGTCGGCGCCACGGCGCCCTTCACTGCTATTTTAGCCCCCTAAGGTTTTTCTATCCCTTGGGGGATTCACGAACCCCCAAAAAGAGATCCTTTAAAGGCTCCCTGCTAGAAGTCCCACACACAGACCTGGAAGTACACACGAGTCTTGTCGTCGAGAGGTCTGAAGGAAATCTCCCAAGGTCCTTCTCCGCTGTGTAGGCGGGAGCCCCTGCCATGTAGGAGCTGCAGCAAGCAGGAGGCAAACAGCAACCGATCAGAATGAAAAGCGACCACAGGCTAAGAGGCGGCAAGAATACTCGTAGAGTCGAAGAATTAAGCATCACGGGTCCCCAGACAAGCATTGAAGGAATGGCACAGATAAGATACAGCACACACACACACACACACACACACACACACACACACATAGACACATAGACACATAGACACATACAGAGATGCGCATGGCCCGTGATGCATGCAAGAGAACATGGAGGAACATCTGCTTCAGCGGCCACCGGATGCCGCCCCCGTACGAGCTCTTATTGTGTCAAAAGCTTACAAATTCCATGCCCATGGAAGGAACGCTCTCGAATGTAACAAATTCCAAGTTCTTATCACCCATCTGCTGCGGGACCTTGAGCAGCTCCTTTGCCACGGCCCCAGAAAGACAGACACATCGACGCGAAACCAAAGCAATGAAAAATTCTTGCTTCAACTAAGAACGTCTCAACGATATCAGACGTACATGCTACACATCCACTTCGGCATGAGCCCTCTATCGGGATGCCCTTGCACGGAGAGGATCCTTCTAGGACCTTGTGGCACCTCAAGTGTCGCCTCTTCAAAAGTAAGCCCGCTTTTTCTAATCTTTAACTGCCTACATGATGCGTGGGCATGTGCGTGCGCCTTTAGCGGAGGGGGGGCAAGGTCATACCTTGGCCTCCAGTTGTGCTTGCTTGTTGGGCATTATGAGAGCCAGCTTCTTAGAGGGACCCCAAATATCGTTCCCTCCGCTGAAGCTTGGAATATTCAAAACGACCAAGGATGCGGTCTCTGCGGCATAGAGGAGACACCAAAGTGAAAAGGAGACTTGCACGGATCCTAGTAGTGCACCAGCAGAAAAGAAACTAGCTACCGGCAAGCACATGGCGTCAGGCCCCTGCATGTGCTGGTCAGCTCCTAGCAATGGCGAGCACCCCTTAGCGCTGCTCAGACACACCCCTAGCCGTAGAAGCCTCGAAGCTACTCTACATATGCGGGCTCCCTCTTCTGTCCCCGTGTGTCCCCATTTCGGTGCACAGGAAGCCTTTCCGTTGCTGTGTAGCCACGCGTGAGGAGAACCTTTGCCTACTCTTTAGAAGCGGAATTTGTTGTTGTTCGGCTACAGCCTTGTCAGTGGTAAAGAGAACCTTCTCCTCAGGGGTCCCCGGATTGACTTTGAGGCCAACTATGATTTGGTTGATGCTCTTCGTAAATGTCATCAGGGTCTTTTTTAAGCCCTCAATACCATACCTCTGAGTGAAAGAGGCGAACCGCCAAGACAACAAGCATGCAACAACCCCAAGCATGTGCGCGCTACACAAACCGCAGCGACAAAAGGAGGTAAAGCCGCAACAAATCCAGCAGCAGATAGCATACCATCTTATTGAGCGTTCTCGACTTTGTTCGGTGCCTATCAAACCCCCTCCCGATACGGCTTTCCACGCCCATGCTAAAATAGTTGCTCATTGTGAAACGTAGCTCCTTTACTTCCTGGCGCCCTCGCTCGACCACCTCCTAAACCATGCACACGCAGAGCAAGCACACGAAACTGCCACTTAAACTTGTCTTTTAGCGAAAGCCAGAAAATCGAGAGGGGGGGCGACACAATGAGGAAGAGTGTGCCGAGGCATGGGCGAATGGCCCTCCGCGGATGTGACTGAATATCTCGAAGCGACAAGACGTTACCACACGCAGTCAACGCTAGCACACCCAGATGTACACGCAAGCAGACGACAGAAAAGTACCTAAATTCAACAAAGAAAAGCGAATGAATAGCCCAGAAAACGCCGCATGCTGATGCTGTTTGTGCTGCCGGGGTCACCCCAGATGAAGTTCTTTTTTGTACTTGCCTTCCGCCTGGTAACGGGGTTAATCCTAGTGAAGTGCCCTCCAGGGCGTAGAGTGACGCAGACATGCCACAGGTCGTGGTAGACCACACTGGCTTGCATGCAGCAGTCCACGAGTTTTCGCAAGCTGGCGCACGCACACATTAGAGACGACTCCGAACAGCGTCCATCATGTAAAGGGAGAGCGGCTACTGCACGCCTCCCCCTGCAGCTGCGGTCCTGGCTGTGCAACCACAGGGGAAGGCGTATGGCAGCAATTCTGCAGTTGGCCCTTTCCTGTGCCCCGTGTTAATTAGGTAGAACGCGTGGCTGTGCCCCTTAGGAAATACCAGTTGCATAAAACGCGCTCAAGGGTTACAGAGGACCCGGTAGGGCAGGGCATGCTCACGTGTTGAGGGAAGCATCGAAGGGGTTAGCCGCGTTGAAAGGACGCCAGCCAAACACGTTCGCGAAGTCGTTGCCTGCACAAAGCCTAAACCCTATGTTTTCTTCATGCCGGTACACTCGAGAGCAAGCTGAACGAGACGGCCATGAGCCCTAAACTCGAAGCCTGAGCCGTGAACCACTGGTCTGGCCGGTCTTACCAGTGCCGTAGGGCACTACGCCAACTGCGCAGACTTCAGAGTCGACGCCAGTGATTTTCATTTCGTCTAGACACCACATGACGGTGCCGTCTCCCCCCGCCACCAGAATGCGAATGGTGTCTTTCTCCGCAGCCGAAGAGGGTCGAAGATCCCCGTGAACTCCCTTGCGGGCAGATATGGCCTTGAGCAACAAAAATCCAGGCTTGCCGCCACTGGGACCCTCTCTTATGTCGTAGATGAAGATCTTCGCGCTATAGGGTTCCGTGAGAGTCAGGCGGGACACACCAGTCTGACACGCAGAGGAAAAAAGATGATTCCCCGTGCTCTTAACACCGTGCGTGCGCAAGCTACTCCTACTACTGCACGGGCTGAGACTCCTTGTGCAGGATCGCAGCAGCATGCACCGCTCCCACCACCCCCAGCACAGCTAAACCCCAGAAGACGGGATTACAGAGGCCCGTGCAATCCCACCGGCCGCTAGGGCTCCCCAGAGCTCACACGACGTCCAAAGAAGCAAACAGCATGAAGCGCTCACTCTGGTAAAGGCAGAAGCTTTGTTGCCCCCGCTCGAGGGGTTCGTGAAGATAAAAACATAGTGAAAATCGGAGTCTTCGTCGAAATCTTCAAGAGCAGCCGTAGGTCCCAGCTGCACTGCAGACGCTGGTGATGTTGGGGCCTCACGTGCAGCCGCTACCGTTTCCGGCGCTGTCGCTTCCACCCCTGCTTCTGCTTCTGAGTGCTTCGCTGCTACCGAGGATGTAAAGCGCACCTGTGGGGGCTTCAGTGTGCCAGAGGGCTGTTGAGTCCAGGCCTCGTCGGGGGAGGCCCACACCTCCTGCAGAGGGGCGTCTTTCGAATTGGGACCGCCGGAATGCGTCATCTCAGAAGCCGCTGAGGGTCCAGAGCCGATCTCTGCGGCCACATTGCCACCACTACCCTCGATGTGAGGGGCTTGCTTCGCGGGATTCGCATTTGACTGCGTCGCCGAGAATTCTCGAGAGACCTGAGGGCCCTCTGGGCCCTGTGTGGCGAGCAGCATGGATCTACAGGCGGGAACTGATTATTTCTACGCGGCTCTGGCACCCACAACGGTCACAGAGATGCTATCCGCCAAAGCCGTTTCCGCGGATCAGGACCGAGAGTTAGGGGAGTCCCAGTGAACCACGCAGTCCTTGGGGAGAGGGCCCCCATACCCACGTAGCCCTTGAAATTCGGCAGCTCTTTGCCGTGTATCAGACCTGAAGAAATCCTAGCGAAACAACTGCGTGATTGACGCAAATACTGCGTTGCAAATGCGCATACCACTCGCCAAGAAGGGTCCTTCGCACGCCGGCGGGTGGGAGAGAAGGAGCAAGCCAGAGATTGCACCCCCACTCTGCTACGCTGTTCTTAGGAGTGTTCGATATGGGTCTCGAAAGAGTAGAAAGCACTGCAGACCATGCATACGCTCAATTGAGCATATTTGTCGCAGTTCAGGGGCCGGCAGGGACCATACTGCTGAGAAGGATAAAATTATTGCGAAACAGAATACAGAAATTATTGAGTGAGAAAGGTTTCGCAATAGGTCAGGCAACAAGACACAGAAGACCACTTGAAGCTTTCTCTACGGGGGCCCCTATCCACGAGCGGAATGGCTTATAGAAGGCGCGTGAACTGCTAATGGTGAGTGGCTGATGTTGCCAGCTAGGGAAGAATAAGAAAGATCCGAATTTGGAAAGCCAAACTGTGGCAAACTCCGAATCTTGATCATGACGGGGACGTCGGAATCCCCGGACCAAAGTGCTCAGAGGGCATGAAGGAATTTTGCATGCGGTGCACCTCAGTGCCTTCTGCTCTCGAGGGCTTCGAAAAGTGAGCTGAATTTTGAAGGTACTATCAGGCGACCCTTTTCTCAATGCGAGATATGTATAACATAACGAAATATGAACGCAGAGGGTTTGTACACGCTGCGGGGATAGAGAAAACCACGCACACCAAAACAGATCCTATTATCGTACACACGCAAGCGGATATTACTACTGCTGAGGAATTGACGCGAACATACCTCGTGAGAGTTTCGTTTTCAATAAAGTGGGAATGGCTTACCACAGCAAGACAGTGACATAGCAAATGCCGAAGAGGGCCAGTTAGGGCACCCCCTGAACGCGTGGCCCAATATTCTCTTTATGGGCCTTTGTTGTAAGCAAATTTGTCTCTTTAAGTTTGCTGCCAAACAATAAGCAGCCTGAAGAAATCATTCCTCAGGCGGAACGAACACGTATTTAATTGGTTTTCATAGATATTCCGGCGAGAGCGGGCGCGCAGGAGGTATTCAGCCTTGCACAGCACGTTCGCTTCGCGAGTAAGAATCGGCTGGCTTCCTTGTGATACCTCATTCATTTTTGAATTTATGAGTAGAGGCGGGGAAGGTAACTATACGCTGAGAATCGGAAGGGATTAGAATTCAAGAGAACTGTCACACTGGATCAGTGCCTTTCGTATTTCCCTCTGTGGCGCCTTCTTCCGAACATGTTAATTCAATGAATGATCATGGTTAAGCTTGATATGATACCACAGAGGAGTAAGAAAAAGGATGATTCGATTATCAGAGTACCCCTCACCACAATAGACGTTTTCATTTTCCGCAGCTTGTGATTTCCCAGGTACTATTTCTGTCAGTTAGAAGCATTGCTAGGAATAATTATGGCACTTTCAGTACCATGGTTATGCCGAGTTGGAAAGGATTTGGTGCTGCGCAACTCAGCCAAATGCAAACGAAAGTTGAGGGTACGATACTAAATACTATTCCGAATCTTGCATCAAAAACTGTAGGTTCCCATGCAAAACTGCTCACACATCGGCCATCAGATAGAAGCACCATTCTTATACACGTTCTACGCGTACGCGTCATGTCAATAGAGGCATTGTCTCCGAGCGATGATGACGCGAGACAAGTGTGCCACACACGTAACCTGGAGCGCAGCCGGCTTGCGACACTTGAAGCAACTTCCACTCCTCTACTACTGGAACCTTGTGAGGTAATGGAACTCTCTGTGCAGTTTTATATTTTGTTTAAAGCAACGTTTTTCCTTATGAGGACATAAAGTGAAGCGTTTCGCTCAGCAGTGAGGCCTAAAAGCAATCAAGGCTACAGCACTGCCAGGCTTACTATCCGGCGTCACCAATGTCCCATTCTCGTTTGTGTCTCTTCGAATTTTGCCCTCACAGTGATTATTGGGCATGGCACTTTCATATAAAAGACCCAGAAAGTGTTGCGTGTGAGTGACTACTCCAAATGGTGAATTCTTCCCAGCCATTGCCACGGCAACATTACGACTTTATACAGCGTGGACAGGGCTGGGGTGCTACAGAAACCAAGCAAAACATTAGGGTGACACTAAGATCAGCATAAGGTGCAGCAACAACTCGCACATTGCATGTCTACGTGCTGCGAGGCAGCTACATGGTCTGCAACTATCAATGGATCCACGACTATGTCATTCATAAAACGGAAAAGCAGCAAACCAATACAAGTTATTGGGGAACCGTCTATTTCACGTCCAGCAGCTTCGATCTTTGCCGACCACAAATGTAGGCTTTGGGAGTAAATTGGCGATCGATAGACACAGATTTGACAGCTTGGCCATCTGCGAATGGGGTTTGTGAGTAACTGTGCACTTACTGATTTGCTATTTCCATTTGAATGTATGTGCGTATCATTTGTGTCAAGGTGCATGCCTGCAAAATATGAGTAAATAATATCGAATTCAAGCAGTATATCTGTAACTTCGTGCCAATTTCAATGAGCTCGATTTGCGCGCTCCCTTTATTCAATTTTAAGCCACCGAGAGCAGAATAAAGGTTTCCTTTTTTCAGAAGTTACCAAGGGCCTACGGCGGTGGAGTGCTGTGCAAAAATATATCTCTCACTTTGATAGAGGCCACAGTTTCGCTGTTTTTTTAAAAGCTCACGACATTCATTACATGCGACAAAGCTAGATTTTCCACTTCAATTTATAAGTGGAAAGCGGGGAACAACAAAGGGAAAGGCAACGGGCAAGTGACATAGTGAATTTGGGATTTTGGTTCAGCGAGCCTGTCAAATGCTATGATAATTCTAAATATCTATCAATGCAAATGAACTAGCCTGTAGGAGGTGTGAGGCAACTTTACCACCCAGGGCCTTGTGGGTTGTAATTTTTGCACATTTCCTGTCTTGGCCTCTATACTTGCTGGCACCCTCGTTTTAAGACGTACTGTTGTTTAGGCCTCCGATAAAAACAGGAGGAAACGAGACAAAAGGAGCGGGTCCTGGGATGTGTGTCGCCTTGTGTAATGTGAGGACAATTGAGACAAGAGTGACGACTCTACGGATACTGCAAGTTCCGCATAGTGCAGTTCGGAAAATGGAAAGCACGCTCGCTCTGGGGCTTCCAGAACTTTAAGCAGGGTACAAAGACGCGCGGCCAGTTCAGCTGCACAGAGCGTAGCAAAATGAACTGCTGGATAGGTGCAAAACGGATGAGCTTAACCCGCAAGCACACAAACAGACTGAAAGAAGTTGAAGTGCGTGTGCTGATAGAGCAAAAACACGAAGGAAGCCCAGAAGGTAATGGAGGAACCAATCACTAAAACGTGCATTGCTGTATCCGAAGATTAGAAACAGCAATTGCAGCCTCCTTCATCACCACAGATGTGTTGAAACTGGACTAGTGGACGATATTCTAGGAGAGTCGCGGAGGTCTGCACCCCACGAAAATTTTGGAAACAATGTACAAACTGCGCCATAGTTTTTGACCATAGAAGAAAGGAGCTTTTGTGAAGGCCCTCCGATTCCGCTCCTTCAGTGCGGGGCCTCTCCTCGAAGGACTTGCACTTCCCAACCCCCTGAAGGCAAGGTGATTAAATGACCCAGCATTAGAATTCTGTGCTCCTTCCAAAACGAGAAAAGGCGTAAGCCAGCGAAGGGAAGAAAAGAAAAATGTAGGATTAGCATGCGTGACAGGATGCCAACGTCAAATATTCTGTTAGAAACAACTCCCTGCCCTCTAGTGCACGGAGAGTGGCAAAGCTGTTTCCTTTAGGAGGAGTTCGTCAATACGAATAAAGTCCTCTACCCTGGAGCCTATGAACCCAAAAGGCCAAATTCCTTGGGTATTCATATATCCCAGAGGTATTAACTATCCTCTTTTGCCTTTACGGTGTTTTCGAAAGTCAGAGGAATAATAAACAATTGATCTCTTGAAATATTATGTTATATTTGCCCCTCACACAACTTCTGTTAAATATGTGCGCTTCGATCATTTGGTTTTATTCTGCGTATGGATATCTATCTGGAGAGTTTAGCTTCATCTTCGAAGTGCCATGGAATACGAAGCCGCGCACCGAAGGAAAAGAGCACTTTCCATGCTCGATGGCCGCTGTTACTCGTTTCAACCAAACCTATCCTTATTTAAGGCAGTACAAAGGAGTCGAAGACTCATTTGACTATCCCTGCTTCCGCTGTTTCATGTGCTGCCGCTACTGACCCTGCTCCGGGCATTTTTGTTCAGGGATTACCTTCTACTGCAAATAAAGTGGTGCCGTCTGACGTCTTAGAACATTCTACGAAATCAGTTGCGTAACCAAAGAGAGAGGATATATCGAGTTGCTCGGCGAACGCGCACAGATCATACACAAGGAAAGCAAAGATCCACAGACAAACCTGCCAAACGTTAGATGGATTACGCGAGCACTAGAGTCACAAGATCAGAGTTCGTTAGCTCCACGGCGGCATACGCTACTCGAATCTCCGCAGCTCACTATCAGGATAAATCTAAATTCCTAGCTCCCCTGCATGGATCGAGCAGATGTATGTAAATGCGAAAGTAGTGATTTCTTTTTATGATACCCCAATCTGCCTTTCAGGTGCTTACAAGTCTTCAGTAGTAAGAACCTTAGTGTACTGCTACTGAATTTCAGGCAAAACGTTTTAGGAGATTGGTGACTCCCCCGGCAGGTCTCTCTGTAGAAAGAGGTACACTGGTTTATTGGGCCCTGGATCTGTAGCTGCAGCGCGCCTCCTCTTCAGCAGGGCTCTGGTTAGCATACAAATAGTAGGGGCAGCAGGGTGATGATAATCACGAAACAATAGTACAATGGAGATTGTTGCGTCCTGTCATTTCTATCCTAGGCAAAGCACCCTAATCCCTGTAGACTGCAAAGTGAGATGAAAACCTACCATTTTATATACTAGTATTCTTCCATCTGCAAATCTGGATGTAATTGCTGCGTGTTCTGTGGTTGCTCTCCATTTTTTCCCCCTGCGAAGCCTCAGGGTACGTATATATTTTAGGCGTCAGCTCCTCCAGAATTTGCCCTTCGAAAAATATGCATCCAGAGCTCTAGCTGAGCTACTGACGGCAGATAAGATTGCCTATCAGGCTTCATCGTTGGCCAGTCGATGTGCAGTGATGAGCTGCATGACTGCGTTTAGCCGTACACGTGCACTAGGTGATCTTGGCATCGAGTGTCCCAGAGGTGCCGCAAGTGGCGTCGTGACATTCAGTGGGAAGAGGAACCTTCTTAAGTAGGTGGCCTGACAGTAGCTTACCACATTTGATCCGTTGCCCTCAATGTAGCGTCAACTCCTCAATGGGCACCTTGCAACTTTTTTTCAGCGGAGTTCGCCCGGCCTACAGAAGGAACTGTGCAAACGCTAAACAGAGCAGCACTCCAGCAGCAAACACACGCCCGAGCACATAAATTCATTCCAGTTGGTTTGACTCCACTGATTTGAGTTGGAGGTGCAGGGAATTGGGTTGCACGGGCGGGGGCCCTCTTCGCGTTTCGCCGCGACAGTCTTCGGCTGTGGGCCCCGCCGGTTGCTTAGGCTGTCGTGCGCATACGGTTCCCCTTTCCACATCGAAAAAATCTTGCAGCATAAGGACACCGAGCAACTCTAGATGGCAGAAGGAGCATTCTAGTGGGCAATTCCAAAGAAACCTCGTGACTCCAGTTCCGAAAGCCTCTCACGCCGACCCCCTAGGGACCCGCACAGCTTTTCTTATTGTCCTTTCCCGACAGATCCGTGCACTATAGACCACCCAAGGGCTCCCCATCAACCCCAGGGCGCGCCGCTGGGGTTCAGAACCCTCGCCTGATCCCGCTGCTTCCGCTTACTCAGCTTCGGGACCGCACCTTGTAGCTTCCGTGCAGCCTCCAAGCAATAAGGCTGCCCGTGCGGAGGATCCGCTTCGCAGCCGCAGAGCGGTGCCCAGGTGCAGCTGGAGTGTCTTCCTTCGGGAACAAAGGGCCCGTGCAACACCTCCCTGCTGTGCACCGACACCCCGTTTTTTCTTCCGACTCTGCTTTTTCCCTCGGAGGGCCAGGGAGAATCGAGGCTGTCTGCTTGTCTGCCAGCCGCAAGCACCTTAGCCCCATCATGGGGGAGCAGCCTGCAGGGGCCTTCGAGTTGTCAGGGTCTGAGGAGCAGCAGGCAGAAGATGGCCAGACAGCAGATCCACCCCCGTTACCTGCAACAGCCCTCGCAGCCTCTTCCTCCCCACCTGATTCCGACTTCAGGAGAAGTACACACACGCTGGAAGAGGCAGCAGATGAGGGCCTACCAACCGCCGGCGCTCACGGCAACAGAGGAACCGTGGCAAGCTCCTGGGGAGGAGGGGCCCCCGAGGGTCTCCTTAACGCTGAAACGGGGCAGCCCAGAAGTGTACAGAGGAGAAGCGACTCATCGTGCATCGTGAACCGTAGCGAGCTTTCTTCTGGTTGTCACGAGGACCCACAGTTGTTGCGAGTGCAGGAGCACAACCCGCAAGAGTGGCTGGGGCAGGAAACCGCCGCAAGGGAAGACACGGCAGCGCCCCCAGTGCAGCGTCAGGGCTGCAACGGCCAGCGGCGGCATACACATAGTCAGTGCAGGCTCCAGAAGCAGGTGAGACAGCAGCAGCAGAAGCGGGTCCGACAGAAGCAGCAGACAGAGCAGGTAGCTGCAGGACCGGCAGTGCCACGAGGGCACAAAGAGGAGCAGGAAAATCGGCTACGAGCCCAAGCAAAGGCCAGAGAGGATAGACCACGGCTGCAGCAACAGCAGCAACAGCAGCATCACGTGGATGAAGGTCTGCTGCATTCGCTGGAGAACGCACAGGAGCCAGACCTGGGTAGGACAGAAGCCACCTTGGCAGCCCAGCTGTGGCGCTTCAATACCGTGGATGCTGCTGTTGGTGCTGCCCCTCAGGAGGGAGAGGGGGGGGCTAATGGGCAGGCAGGAAGAACCGAGGCAGAAGCAACGAGCAGCCTGAGAGCACGCCCCCTGCCTCCCAGCTTGCTAGGAGACGGGAGACGCGCTCAGACCGACAGTATCAGCAGCAGTAATAGCAGCAGCAGCAGCAGCAGCAGCAGCAGCAGCAGCAGCAGCAGTACTAGCCGCCTAAGTCTTGACCAGTTCCGTCCTCCCTGGAGATACCTTTTCCCAGGTGCCTCGCAACGGCCCCCTTTTCCTGCAGCGCAGCCGCAGCTGCCGCCACTGCCCTGCCAGTCGCTGCACCAGCAGCAGCCGCTGCCCAAGCTGCAAGATGAAGGGCCCTCGAGCAGCTCCGATGACACCACACGGAGGCCCCAAGCTTTCTTAGGCAGAGCCACTGGGCTTTCCCGTGTGCGTACACCAGGAGACCCAGGGGGGTCCCCCCTGGTATCAGCAGCAAGAGCAGCACCCGCGGTGTCAGGGAGCGGTCACAGCATGTCGCATTCTCTGACGGAGCCTCGGCAGAAAACCTCCCCGTCGGGCCCCCACAGGTTACGGCAGCAGGCGCTGCAGGAGCTGGAGAGGCATGGAAGGATTCCCCCCGTTACTGCTTGCAGCCAGCTGCCTTTTCCTTATTTGAACGCAGCAGCTGCAGGGGCGGCAGCAGAGCGCAGCGGCGGCGAGGCTGGGGAGAGGACATGCCGAGTTGGCGGTGCCACCAGCAGCAGTTCATCAGGAAAAATTCAGGCAAAGTCGAAAGAGATGTTTTCTTGGCTGTGGCAGATGCTGCAGCCCGGAAATGAGCGCTCTCAAGACGAGGAGAATGTCTCATCAGGTGTGCCTCTAGGCTGCGCCGTGCCAGCAGCCTCGCCGCACAGCACTCTGAGCAGCGGCAGCACCGCCTCAGGACGGGTGATCCCTCGGCCTCCTGCCGGCGATCACACATCGCAGGAAGATCCACCTGCTGACTTTCAGACTGGGCCGGCGCTATCTGCATCCCTACCTAAGCACCTGCGCTTAAACTTGGCACTGCTCTTATCCAGAGACGATCGTCTCTATTACGGGGAAACCTTCGCGTCCTGCATATCGCACGGCTGTGGCTTTGCTCTGTACGGAGGCGGTGTCTCCCGTTGCGGAAGGGGTCTGTGGGGGAAGGCGGCACTTCGGCGTTTGGGTTGTGGGTCGCTCGCAGGGGAGTGCGTCCTCTTACCAAGCCCTCCGAGAGGTCCTACCTCGCAGGGCCTTGCCTGGGGGGGGGCCCCCCTGGGATTGGGGGGGGCGCATGGCAGCGGGGAGTTGCGGGTGGCTGACGGGCTTCAGACGGGCCTGGTGCTGGCCCAGGGGCCTCGTCCGTTGGCGGGGTACTGCGGCTTCTGGCGTTTGGGGAGGCGGGAGCGGTGGGGAGTGCTGCTGCGAGGTCCTACAGCCTGCAAGTATGAAGGCCAGTGGGTGCAAGACTTCAGGCATGGGTTTGGCATGCAGACCTTGACGCAGGGGTGCCGCTACGTGGGGCAGTTCTCTACCGGGCAGAAGCACGGCAAAGGCATCATTGTGTATCCTGGCGGGATGATTTACGCTGGGGAGTGGGAACACGGGCGAATCTGCAAGCAGGAGCTGCTCATCTCGTCGAGGCATCTCCTGCCTGCAGGCAGAAGCAGACGGAAATGCCACAGTCCCCGCCCAAGGAGGTCTCCTGAGGAAATGGTTTGTCTCAGCAGCGAAGGCAACACGCAGAGCGACCAGCGGCAGCCACAACTAAGGCCAAGGCAGCAGCGGGAGGGCCATTCTCGCTCTTCAGGGAGGCTGAAAAGGCCTACGGCGTTGCGGCAAGCTGCCGCTGCAATCGGCCTGACCAGCAGCAGCAGCAGCAGCAGTAGTAGCGACGAAACGGATTTAGGAGAAGGGTCTCTTGGTATGGAGCAGAGACTTACGGAGCAAATGGAGGCGTTGCGCCAGTTCTCTGCAGCGCCTGCAGTGAGGCACTGGGGGGAAGAGCATGTGCAGTGCTTGCTGAAGAGCATGGGCTGCAGACAGGGCCTCTGTCAGTTGATGCGGGAGCAGCAAGTTGACGGTCCAGCTCTCCTGGCGCTGACCGACGCGGATCTCAAGGATATGGGGGTGAGGGCTTGGGAGGAACGACGGCTGCTGTTGCTCCTTGTTGATCTGCTGCTAAAGCTTAGGCACAGACATAGACTGCGGGGGCTCTACAAGGCCGCCAGAATGACGCGTGACAACCTGCTGCAACAGATTCTCATTCCAGCGACAGAAATCGATATTCAGGGGCCTATTGGGGAAGGAGGGTACAGCCGCGTTTTCAAGGCGACTTGGAGGTACACCCGAAGTCTAGACGCCCAACACCGCCATGGGCAGGTTGCCGGCAGCAGCCAGCAGCAGAAACGAGAGCGACGTCAGCGGCAACTGTGGGGGCCATCTGCTAGTGCGGGTCAGGGTGAGCACCACAACGACAAAACGAGATTTCCGATCACTGCTGCCTTTTGGCAGCAAAAAGAGCACTGCAGGGAACCCGAGCAGCAAGATCAGCAGACATCGGAGCCTTGTGGGGAGATGAGTGTTGCGGTTAAGACATTTAGGCAGCGGGATAGCCAAGGGGCACAGCGTAGCCTCTACGCTGAGCTCTCTGTTCTTTCCTTGTTGCGCCATCCAAACGTGCTTCTGCTCTTGGGGGTGGTGGGCCCCCCGGTGTATGGCCTTGTAACTGAGTACGTCTCCGGGGGGTCTCTGTTCGATCTGTTGCACAAGCAGCGGGTGTCTTTGCCGCTAATGCGGGTTGTGAAGCTGGCAAGGGAGGTGGCTCTCGGTATGAGCTACCTGCACGAGAAGGGGGTAATGCATTGCGACTTAAAGAGCCCAAATATCCTGCTCACCAACAATGGGGAGGTTCGACTTTGCGACTTTGGGCTCGCCACCATTGTTGAAGCTGCAGGGGGCCCAGACTGGTGGACTGCTGCTCAGGAGCAGCAGCAGCAGCATGAACAGCAGCAACAACAGGACCCGCAGGCTGCTCATCTGGGATGTGTGGGAACACATCATTGGATGGCACCGGAGAGTGAGTTTCCTAGCTTTACAGCGCGTATGAAGGTGCTTATGTGGCTCTAATGCAGGCACCCACATCGCCTCATGGGCTCGCATGTCACTCTACAGCGACGGCCGCACTAGGGCACGGGGAGAGAGTCATGCAGCTTAGCAAGTCGCTCATCTCCGAAGGCCTTCTTTTATGGGTGCCATCTCTATCAATTGGTGTTTTGGTGTCTTCTGACCTTTGTTTTTCTCATTTAGTGGCCTCCTTCGTTCGGCTCCTCCAGATGAGACTCGCTGCCTATCGCACATACCTTCGCTGCATGGTGTGCTTCTCAAGATACTGGGAGGCCACTATGCATATGCAGTGCCGTCTGAGCGGACGCGCAAGCAATTACAGTTGCTCGTGCTTGTGTGCTCATTGCGTGCAGTTCTACGAGGGGAAGCATTTACATTCGCTGCAGACGTCTATTCCTTTGGAGTCGTTCTCTGGGAAATGTTGGTGGGAGATATGCCCTTCGCTGGTGAGGCAAAATATATGATTCGGATGGGGTTCTTCTTTGTCTCTGTATTTGTTTGCTTGTGCGGTGTTGATGGCGCCGCTAGGGTCTACAATATCTCCTGTTTGCTTTTGTATCATCTGCAGTACCCTGTTTTGTTTGTCTGTACGACAGTGTTCTAGTCCGCTTGGCACATCCTTTCCCTTCTTTCCCTCATTCATGCGTATATGCTGATGGGGCCTTCGTGTTGCTGGTATATACCCTAACTTTGCGTCAATAAGTATCCGTTTGTGCTTGGTTGATGCAGGCATTGGTTCTCCTTCTCATCTAATAACGGTTGTGGGCTACGGGGGGGTAACTCCTCCTCTTGACAAGATTCCGCGGCCGTTACGAAGGTTTCTCAGGAGCTGCCTCCAGCCGGACCCCTCTCTGAGGCCCAACTTTGCTGCTTGTGCGCAGCTGTTGCAGCAGCTTTACACTGCCAATTTGCTGGACGTAGAGGTTGATCTGAATTCTCTGTTGGGTCTAGGATCCTAGTGTATCTTGCTTTCTCGGACGGGCGGACAGGTATTGAAAAAGATAGCAATGCAGTTACAGCTAACACAGAAGAAGCCGCACACAGGCCAGCTATGTAGCCACCCTGGGTGCCTTCACAGGCCTCTTGCAAGGCACACAAGGCGGCTCTGATCCGATGTACTAGGCAGCGAATGCAGTGGGAAGAGGCGCTTGCGGTGGCATGCGCTAGGCCCTGTTAGCGGCCCCAACGAAAGCAGCGTGCCGCTGCATGTTTCATTGGCGTCTTATCAGAACACACGACTTATGCTCTTCATTCTCACGTCCCGTATTGATGGGCACAGGGAAGCAGAGGAAGACGTCCTGCCGTGCCAGGTTCTTTAGCGATGATGGGGAAACCAATGATGGCACCGCATCACTGGCTTTTGACTGACTACCTCAAGGCCGGCTCACAAGAGACTAAAAGATGACAGGGAGTAGTGGCCTTTAGTCTCGTTTACTTCGCAGTAGCAGCAGGAAGAAGCCAATGGGGTCAGAAGCCCCATCGCCAGAGCTTTTGTAGGCTAGATGCCCTAAGGCGCTTTCTACTGTACTAGATATCTTCTTAAAAGAGTACAAAAGAATCGGCTAATTAGTTTCTATGTTCGCTACTGCAGAGTACGATTCCCTCGATACAAAAAACACAATCTTGTGTGCGGGTGAGGTAGATGCTCCGCAGAAGTAGCTATTCATGCTATCAATTCTAGAAGGGTGCGGTCACGCGCACCCAAACTGGCCCTTGACTTCCGTGTAGGGAACTGAGAAGCGCGAGCAAAGCAAAATGAGCTCTTATCAGAAAGCACTGAACGACATTTAAGACTGAAATCGAGTCTGCGGTAGACTCCCTGCGGAGACCTTATATTAGGTGTTACAGCTTTACTTCTGTATTGTATTGTCTCCCGCTGCGTTCCTCTTTCCACGGCGACTAACAAATACCTCTAACATCGTGCGTGTTTGAGGCCGCAAAGATAAAGTGCCGTGCTAGAAATCCAAGTGTATCCACAGGCTCCCGATTTCACAGGTGTGACCATGGCTATCTTTTGTATCCAGGGAATAAAGACAGTGTCAGGGAGCTAAAGGCAATATTGAGAGTTCAAAAACAGCATTTGACGGGACAGGGACACCGTGCTCTATACTGGTATAATTTATACTTGGTGGTCATCATCCACCTGGATAGGGAAGGACGTCCAGAGCCGCATACTTTTAGCAAGTTTCTACTGCTACTTAGCACTTTTGGTCCCAACATAAAAGCTTCGAGCATTCTTGTTTTTTCGTTCAGCGATAGCTATGTTTGTGCTAATGCTAGTGTCGTTCGTGTCCGTCCTGGACCTGCAATCCAGAGTGTACCTCAGTATTTACCGTTTAGGATTGCTTTTTCGCACACCGACGTCGATAAATTAGCTGACGCTCAATAGTTAATTTAAATATAGCCCACTGCAGGCCTCAGGTAGCTCCATGCAGCTACCATGTGGTCATCCGACAGTAAACTGCTAGTTAAGACGCTCCAGGTAAACAGCGCAGTTGGCCTGCACTTTTGCTAGTCCGTCCGCGTAATTAAGGCCCTCAATGACAATAAGTGAGTGATAGACATTCAACCCTCATAATCGCGGGTTTGTGTCAGAGAAAGTATTCGGATCCATTTTGTTTTCCGCCCAGCTCTGCCTTTGCCAGTAGTAGAGAGCTGGCAAACAATACTGCTAGCCCTGTCTCTGCTTCGATAAGGATGTAAATGAGGCAAGTTGAGAACATCAGGGCTACAGTTTTTCCTTGTTATTTCAATGACGAGAACTATGCGAGCTGCAGACCGGGTTTTTCTGTCTCACCAGACGCATAACTGGAACAAGTGTGCTGCCTTTTTTGCCTAGGCCGCCTCAACCGTCGACTTCCCAAGGCAATAAATAGGTAATATGAACAAGCTGTCGCGCTAGGACAGTGGCTACTTAGGGGTGCCTTCCTGCTGATCGGGGCCCCGGACTAGGCTGCAGCCGAAGGGGCCCCCACGAAGTTTCCATTTCCTTCACTGCGTCAAACTTACATGTCTTTGATATTCCCTTTAAGTTCAATTGCCAAAATGGACTTCGCAGCATGTGGTGCAAGCTCTCCTAACGCTGCCTGCCACAGTGCGTAACTACCCTTCCAACTCTGCTCACTGCTCACATTACTACTGCATTCTTTCCCTCGATCGGTTGTGTCCTTTGAACACTTGCTACAAACCAATGTTTGCTGTGGCTTGAGGTACGAGCGGGAAATGGCTGTGTCCTGGGCCACGAGCCTGAAGGGCGTGTCGCGGGTCGCAGTTGAAGCCTTCGTGTTAACAGTTATAATTGCACAGGCGATCTGCTGGCTATCGGGATGGCCCCTCCTCATGCATACAGGATCTGAATCAGGCTCATCGGCAGACGTAGCGGGTTTACCTGGTGACCGAGTACTTGCTCTCAGTCCAGCAATACAGGTACGGCAATCCTCCCCATCAGGGTAGGACTGTGACTCTGTGGCGGTAGCGAAGGTTTATGGATTACGCTTCTGTATTTTCTGTGGTGTTTCCGTTCCTATTGCGACAGGATATGATGCAGCAGGTAGGCGTAATGCATTCCGCCTGCTATGAAGAAGGCAGAGCCAATGAACACGCGTTCGTGATTTGCATCGGAAGGGCTGATTGCGCCAACGCTAAGGCACAGGGGAAAACCCGGCTTATTTCTGCTCCCCATGTCCTGGACTCTCCAGAGGGGAAACGAAAGTAAGAAGGGTTTGCAAAAGAGTGTGTTTCTAACGAAGTTTAAGGGGAGCATAGAGGGGCGAAATGTCTGACCCATGGCCCCACCATGGCCAACGTCCATCTGGAAGGGTAGCACCAGAGGCACTCTTTTCTCATAGGCTTGTTGCTACGAGTATAAATATGAGCTGACCCAGAGTTAGAGGAGATGCGTGCCCATGGTTCATGACTGTCAATATAGGAAACACTTTTGCATAACACCGGCGAATATATTTACAGTACTTATAAGCCAACCGACACATCTCGGCACTAGTATTCATAGTATAAATTCAAGTAGTTTATTTAGATTTATCGCCACGCACAAAATATCTATGCATAATGTTTGCTGTTGTTCCTACTCAGGGTGTTGGAGGTAACACATGCAGTTCTATCCCATGTGGCTAGGCTGGAGCAGACCAGCAACCTGAAGGTTTTAGTGGAGAAGATTAGCGCCTTGGGTTTGGCCTGTGACGACTTCCTGATTGCGGCACCCCACTGAGGGGCGCTGGTTAGGTAGAAATCCATGTTGAATCTTTCAAGGTTCCGGCTATGGGAAACAACTGAATTGCTTTTGCAAAGCTAGGCGCCATTCAGGGAAGACTGCACGAAGCAGACAAAATCAAAGCGTGATCCACTGAGCTTTAAAGACAAACTGCTTTGCTGCGAAAGATATCAAGGCAGCATGACGGCCTGGCAATGGATGGAGTAGTATGGTGCATTGCCATGAATCTATTCTTTTTAGACTACTTCATTCTGATATTTACTAGGTTATTTTGAGTAAGCAATCGTATCAAGCGAACGACTTTCGAGTGTATAGCCAGCTGCAGTACTGTATGTTGACAAAGTTTCAGGTTTGCCTACGGGCGTTTCATGAATACTTTTGGTTCTTTTTGGGCATTTGGTGACAGACGAATATTGGAATGTTGCTTTTTTTCATTTTAAATAGCTTACTGCTAATCAAAAGGGATATTTACGCAAATGCCGTGGGATATAATAGAGCGGCACCCGCTGCATTGGATGGGATGCTGCACATGCACGAGGAATTCGAAGAAGCCATAAATGAAGTATTTGACAGCCCATCCGATGTCATCGTGGTTACCAAGGCAAGTTGCTTACGGACGTCCAACCATGTGCATTTCCTCAGGCCGTAAATGCTCGTTTTATAGCCAGGCGGCACAGTAGCTGTTCCTGGAACAAGTAATCCGGTACGATGCAGGTATCCTGGCTGCCATAGTTTTACTTTTGATGCAGTTGCTGCGAGCAGAATGGAAGCGTTGTTGTTGTTCTGGTATGAGTATGCCGTTCTAAAGAAAACACGAAAACGTCGGTGGATCCCGTTAATTCAAAGGCCAGTGGAACTACGCTACAAAATGTGGGTGCCAGCCCCAAAACCAAGCTCTGGGCATTTGCACCAGTACGCCCGAAGTAGACAGTTGCCTTCAAACAACTCAAACATGCCGAACTGTCAGATATGCTTCGAGAGGACATACACACCGGATTCTGGAAAGATCTTTATCAAGGGACCATTCAAGGAGGAAATAATTGAGCTAAACAAGCCCAAACAGCCGAAACCACTCCCTAGCACGGTGGATCAGGTTCTGCCTACAGTGAAATGCAGTAGGACACCAAAAAAAATTGTTGCTTATAAATTGAAGTGTAGCAGCACACTGCGCAGATACGATCTATTATCGCATTCCAATCAAGGAGAGAATCGCTATTTGCGCCAAAAACCAGCTACTACCCAGTAGCCAGGCTCGAGAATGGGTGGTGTTGCAAGAGTTTGAAAGCGCTCCAACCCCAGATCGGAAGCAAGGTACCCGTCCAAACCGACAGTTAGCAATTCGAGTGTCAACGTCCTATTCATCCCGCCCTTGGGAACAGGAGAATCTTGCCCACTCGAAAAAGAAGGAAAGAGATCATCCCAGTCGGTGATGACAAGCAATTTAGCAAAAGCGTACGCGGAATCACAATAAGCCACTGTTTACGAATGCATTTTCGGTACAGTTTCGAAGAAGAGGCACATGCTTTATTAAAGTATGCTGGGCGTTTGCATCCGATTCAAATCAATGGTGCTCAAATGTCCCGCAGCACGCTTGTTGAATTGGGGGCCGATGTGTACCACCAAGGTGTGAAGCAGCAAGATGGTGAGGGTTTGACGAATTTTCGTGAACAAAGAACGTAGCAGACGCGCTACTGCAGGTATCGGGAGGAGGTAATATAGAAAGGATGCAAATTGTCTTGTTCGCGTGATGGATGGCAAAATTGGATCCACAATGTGGCCGTCTATTTTTGGCGGGTTTCTGAATACAGCAAGGCAAAAAAAGGACAAGTCATATTCATTCACACAGCACCAAAGGAGTCGGATGCAGAGGGGAATGCCAACATCGGCATCTACAATGCATGCACAAACCGTGAGACTATATATGCTACGTAAATCGTGCCGCAAAGCGTGCATCAGCTCGTTTATGTGCAGCGACTCTATGCGTAATTGTCAACAAGGCAAAAGGTAGGCAAACGCAATTCACGTTTGGGCCACAGGGGAATTACGGCAATAAAAATGTTCCGACAGGAGAATCCATCACAACCTCCGACCCCTTGGTGCCCATTCCCCTGTATCTCGCGCCGTCGCACGTCGGACGGAAAATTATGATTGTGAGCACCCCTTGTTTGCCTGTGAATGAGCATACCTTGCTAAGGCACCTTTCTTCAGCTTGAATTTGGGGAAGACATGGCTAAGGTGCTTCCCATCTCTCTCGAGCACGCACGTCCGTCTTGAAATGCCATTGGAATTTGTGTACCATGGTCTGCGCATCCGTGCCCACGATACTCGGGCCCAGTCGCTGCATTTTGCACGCCTGACAGTGGCACCTGTCCACTTCGAATGTAGCCCTCACATAATGCAATATGCCCCTCAATGCTGATATTCATGAAGGTGCTGTGGTCATTGAGCTAGCGCCGTCAGTAATATCCGCTGCCCGTGTAAGGCCATCCGGTACCATGTTCTGCAAGAAATTCGATGGAACTTTTCCCCTGAAAGCACACATCAGATCCATAAACTGCTAAGCTGTTTCACACCAGCGTTCACAGAGAGCAACACCAGCAAACGCAATCGGCCGAGGATTACAACGAAATAGACGACCACCATACAAGCGTAGGGGCTTCGAACTTTAGCGTGTGTTAATGGGAATTTGGGGCACCAGATAAAAGATTGGTCATTATTACCTGTGGGAATAACCAGCAAACAAGCGCTTGTCCCTTAGGTTCAGTTTGAATTTTTCAGCTGCTCTGTGCACGCCGTATTTCTTAATTGTCTTGAGGCCCTTCATGGACAGTCTTAGCCTGACATAATGACCACCCTCCGGCCACCAAAGGCGTTTCCATGCTAAATTAACTCGCTGGATGCGGTGTGTCCGAATACCGGAATGGCTGACACGCCTGGCTTTTCTGTTATCCATCTTCCCGAGTAACATACACCTGACAGACCCAACACACAACGAAATTGTGGCCGAAAGCAGCGGCAAATAAGACATAGCACGCACTAAACAAACAACTGCCAAGCCTCCAACTATGAAAAACTAGCTTTTAGTCGAGATCCTAATGAATAGAAGCAGCCCAACAAACAGCACCACTTCTCACCTTCTCATTGGCAACACAATGGGGTTGGCAGGAAGGCCTGTTGCTTTGCGCACGCGTGGGAGGCCACCTCCTCTGCCCTGGATTCTGTAGTGTTTCACAACAGAGGAGCGGCCAAGACTGGTGAATTTCTTCCCCTACACAATCCACATTCCGCACCACCCTCGAACCTTGTGTACCTAAACTCCCGATGGGGGTGCTCGCCGCCTGTCACTGATATTGACATCCGCAGGCTTTGAAATGGTATGCAATGCAACTCTCGGAAATTGCGTGCAGCACATGCAATATCTCACCATTAGCTGCTCCTTGTACCTCTTTTCGCTCATATGGAGCCGCGCCGGCCCTAGAGAATGGCTTCCGCCCCCCACCCGCCAGGAGGAATCGATGCCAGTCCAGCGGAAAATAAATGTCACAACTGGCTCCGAAGATCCTAGAAAGAAAGGTCCCCTTCTATCACTGTTCTCCAGCGGTGCTCTGTCTCGTGTGCAGCTAGCACTACTCAAAAATCTCCTTGGCATGAGCATGGATACAGCTGCCACATGGAGAGGTACAGCGGAGGCTGACTGAGACGCTAGGGGCACAGCTAGCCTCGCAAGCGCCCTATGGTTTGGTGTACCACAGAGGAAAGCTAGCACAAGGAAGATAATGAAATGCGAACTCCACATTGCAGCAGTAGCAGCTACCTACTGCCACAGTTGTCGGTTTGTTCGCGAGAATGCGTCGTCTGAGGCATGAGATAAAAATTTCCTTTTGGGATTGAAAAAAGTAGGCTTTAACCCAACAAGAAGCCAGGGTTAATTCGAGTAGCCCTGCTGCCGACAGAGACACCAAAGAATAAACTTGTTGCAGCAGCCCATGCTTTTTTAGCAACACCCTTTTCCGGGCTCACAATGTATTGAGATAGCCATTGAGATAGGAAAGCATACTGATACTCTCTTTCCTAAACATGTGACAAGGCGCATTCGTGGCCGTGGGGACGTGCTTCTGGAACCCATCCGTGGTCTAAGAGAAGCAAGAAATCTGATTGCGCTTCTGAGCTACCTGAATCGTATACATTAACGGCAAACAATAAAGGAATAATGATTTGCGTTGTTAAACGAAGCAGCAGCTGTTTTGCTGCCCGCCATCAGCCTCCATCCCCAGCTTTTTCTGCACACACTCCCCTTCACGGTGTCTGCACACCTTTGAAAATCTCCCCTGTACTCATGTGCGCCTCATTCGGTCTTTTGATAGCAGTTGCTCGCATCCTGCTATCCTTCGTATGAGTATGATCGGCATACCTGCAGCATTCTTGCTTGGCCTCACTGACAGTTGGTTGGGGCTGTTGCAGCAGTTCACGGTTCGCGCCTTATGACGGAAGAGCCTTGTGCCTGCCAAAATAACGATTTTGCGCCGCAGAAACTTAGTCTGGCTACTCGTACTGCTGAGAGATAGACAAACATTGCAGACACTTCAGCTACTTGCTGTTTTACGTGAGCTCGTACTCCTTTGCAAGAACTTCAATCCTCAGGCGGAGAAAGCGACAGCTTTCTGGCCATATTGTGTGATCCTTCTACCCTGTGTGCCCCCAGTGTGTTTACCCTTTCCGAAGATGCCGTGTTGCCTAAGCAAGCTGCCCTTCCTTGCTGCAGGTGCCGGCGTGGCATCCTTGCTACTTTCCATTCCTGCTTCTCTCTCCGGCTCGCAGTCGCTCCTGCAGCAGACAGACAATCATCCCCTCGCCTTCTTAGGCATGACCGCCCTGCTTAACTGCAGCTTTGGTGCCCTTTTTGGCTCCAGCTTCTGGGTACTCTTTGTCGGCACGCCTCTCTTGCGGAAGCATCTCAACCGAAGACAGCTGGGTCCGTGCCTGCCTACCGCAAGCTCACCTCTCCGTTGTGTCTAGTTGCGCCAGAATGGTGCATTTCCTCAAAGCCCCCTGTGCCTAATATTGATGGACCCTGCAGGCTTCTACGAATTCGGCGCCATGTAGGAATGCCACTAGGGCATATTGCATCGGGCATTAGTTATTTTGCTAGCATAGACTTACATGCTTTTTGAGACAGTAGCAGTAGGCAGGTGCGATACCTGTGTAGCAAACTCCACTGTGCGCGTTCAAAGAGAGGTTTTGTGAAGGTGGTGCAATTCGTAGTTGTTTGTGCAATATTGCGTATTTCTACGTGTGCTCTGTATATTTAGTGCTGTTTCAGTCTGAGCACTTCCCCCTGTTCTCTTGCGTCTCGACTGTTTTCTCCTCGTTCCTCTTGCTTACCACGTGCGAGCTGGCCCTTGACCACAGAAGATTGCAAGCAGTCGTTTGCGCTAATCTCCTCTTGAATCTTGCAAACTCATGCTACATCTTTCCAAAAGAGGTGGGCTTTGTGCATTCTTGTTTCACCCTTTTCCTCTGGCGACCACTCTTCATTTCTTCCATCCATGCTTTATCCTTTCTCTGCCTTTGGCACTAGATGAAGATTCCTGATTAGGCCCAGCCCGCGACCTTTAAACCCCTGCATCTATCCTCAATCCGCAAAATGATAGCTTGGCACCAGGTAGAACGAGTAAGAGAGGGATGCGTTCTATAGTGCTCACCATTCTCCGTTTCTCCCTTAGCATTAAGTGTTTTGCAACATGCTTCATTTTTTATTTTCTCAGGTGTGCATTCTTAAAAGGAGGGAGGAACTGGCAGACAATCTCGGGGTAAAGCCTGATGAGCCAGTTGCTGTTGTTGTAGCAGCAGCAGAGAAAGCAGCAGCTACAGAGGGTCCTCTGGCTGCTTCTGGTCAGGAGTTGTTAGTGCTTCAGAAGTCTTTCAGGAGGCTGCACGCGCTCGGCATGGTTTCCTCTGCCCTCACTTTTGGCTGTCTGATCCCCTTCATCTTCTCGTAACGCATACTCGCTGCTCTGAAATGGGAGTATAATGTATTCCCATCTATCTACTGTGTTTATAGTCGAAGCTGCAGGCCTCCGCTACTACGCGGTAGCCTTCCCTATAGACCCATTTTCGAGGGGCAGCAGTGACCTCTTCTTACGGTACAAAACATAGCACATGTATTAAATATAATGCATGTGTTGTATACGAAGGCGAATTTGATTCGCCATCTTGACCCCTCGCTGGATCGTCTGATCCGAACCCTTTTCTGTAGTTCCCCCATTTCATGTGCTTTTCCATGTATTTGTGCGTGTTCCGAAAGAGCTGTCGGGCATTCTTCCATTTGAGTATCAAGCGAACTGCAGCATCCCTTAGGTAGAACTCCTTGCACCCTCCACTGTTACCTTTTGCTGGTTGCTTTGTTGGGTGCTTAGGGTAGTTAGCAGAAAGGCATGGTATGTTTACTCTTGTGTAATGCATTCAATGCTTCATTTCTGGCGACTTAAGGAGACCACTAGCTGAGGATCATGCACACAGATCTTGTGCATGACTTTGATTGTGACCAGTTTCCTCTGTCCGACGTAAAGTTGCCTCAGGAGGTACACAACGGGCGATCCTGTCCTGAAGGCAACTTAAAATACACTTGTTGAGCACCCATTCTGCCCAAACGGTTTAAATTACCTTAATGCAGAGATCCAGATTCGAATAGATTCCTTATGAACTCGTGAAGCCTCCAACAACAAAGGCCCGGAGTAGTAGAAGCAGCCAATCCTTTAGTTCCTTTTTTTTCCACAGCTGCACCTTGTAGAGTCTAGAGAGATTTCAGTCAGTTTGTGCTTCATTATTTCACCGCAGCGATTGTTTTGCTGCATTTACTGTATACTTTTAACAACAGGTTGATCCGTTGGTCTGTTGACGAGAACACTTCCAGTCGGGGATCAACACAACTGAATATGCATTTGAAACCCACGTAGCTCCATAAGTGATTATGCGTGTGGATTGTGCATGTGTGTATATATCATCCAATTATGGAGGGTCAGACCCTTATTGTCAAACATTTTTACAAGTCGAGTAAGTTGCTCACAGCACAGTGTGCACTCTCTTTTGGGGAAAAGATATATGCACCTTCCCACCTGCCTATGGGTGGATGGCAGATTTCCATTTAGTGTGGCCTAGACGGAATTGTGCAAGGGGTGGAATCATGCATTAGCTCGCTAGGCTCCAAGAGAGATTTGATTGAAAATAGAATGAAACAATGGTTGAACCTTGATGGAGAAGGTCGTAAACTGCCTAGGGCTATATTTGTGTGGCACTGGGAACTTTTTCATGCGTCAGCCGCGCTTCGTTCCACCACAGCTTCCGCATTCTACGCTCCAGAACTCGCTTTGACTGTTGCGTTTCGTGCTCATTGAGAATCGTACGTAGTTGAGGATCTCGCTTGCGTAACAACTTCTTTGCCGGAGAGCCGAGGGCTGAGTGTTTTCCTGCAGCCACTTGCCTAGATAGTAGTTATTTGCAACTCCTTAGCCTCCAAATGTGGCACTATCCGCATACAAACGATCTATCGCGCCGGCGAAACGGCTTTTTTCGTTTGCGAGTATTGGTGCTGTTCAAACACCTGATGCCGGTGATCACGCTATCAGGTATTGCCCCGTCGCGTACGATGCAGTGGTTTGTGCAAGGAGCAGAGCATCAGTCTGGTGAGGCTTCACAGAGTCTCTGTTCTAACTGCCACTCCTGAGAGTCACTGCTTCACTTCCATTACCTCGTTTGTTCCTATCGGCTGCAATCAAGGACGGATTTGGAAGACTACTCTGGCAAAGAGAGGCTGTACGAGCGGAGAAGCATCTACGTGACACAGCTAGAGCTGCAACGACGTGCATTAAGTACAAAGCCGCATGAGATACAAGCTTCAAACTTCTTAAATGGGGTTCGTGGCTTGGAATAGAATTAAGCCATGCCTACAACAAAGCTCGTTCATATGAGAAGCTATCCCATTGGCCTTTTTTTCACTATACAAGCCGCGAAACTATTCCGCGACCGAGATTCGTCGTGGCTTATTGAGGTACGATCTCTATTCCCCCATTTCAGTACCTCTGCCTCAATTTGCGTTCCTGTCGGCGCCTCTTAAGCTATTTGCACTTGCCCGTTTGCATTTTTCGCACTTATACTCTCCAAAGAAGCGTATGCAATCACATGTAGTTCCTCTCCTCAGCAGCACCTGCTTGCCTGTATTCTGCCAGTAACTGCTGTGCGTACATGTCTCTTTCCGGCACTAACTGCTCTCCAGTTCCCTCTATTGAAGAAAAAACGACCCAAGGAGTCTCTGCCCAAAGCCTTGAGTATCTGTTCTTCAAGAAGGAAAAGTCGCCAATCTCCAAGTCTCGTGCCCACCGGTCGAAAGACTGCCGCCAAACGCAAAGCAAGCAAAAGCAGCAACAGGACGCAGGCATTAAAGCCATACATGGCAGGAGGCATTAAATGGTGTACAGAAGAACAAGGCATGAAACATAGGCAAGGAATCATGCACACAAGCAACAGGAAGAATGGCTAGCAGGGAAAATGTGCGAGGCCGACAGGGGTAAGGGAAAAGAATTGAGATAGTGAAGTGGCAATAAGCCAGAAGACAAACCCCCTTCTTTCCTTGTAGCCGATAGAAACAGAGGAGGTGATAGACGTGAAGCAGCGATTCTTCGGACGGCATGAATACCTCGGCCATCACAAGTTCGAACAGATTCTTACGTCGGCTGAGCAACCAGCACAAGGGACGGAGGCACAGACGAACACCACGAAAAGCCGCATACGCGTGTTGTCACTTCTTACAAGGGAAAAAGAATGAATAAAGGGGAAAGAGAGAGCCACTCATCGGATGGATCCAAGACCATACGCAGAAGAACTCTTCATTGCCCCTTTCTTAGACCATTACGAGGCAAATTTTTGCAAGGGTGAAGAAAGAAGTAGGGCTAGAGTCTACTTTGAGAGGTAAAAGTACGGGGGCCTTCGTTATGTATATGGTTTGATATCAGGATACGTGCAGTTGGCTATACAGGCCCAAGCCTTTAACATGTAGTAGAACAGTTCCTGCTGTAAGGAAATTTCATCTCCTCGAGGTTAAAGGCAGTTGTTGAGGTGTACCTGTAGCTGGGGAAGTGTATCCTGAGTCTAAGGTTTTCTTCTCTTTCATCTAGTTCCTCTTCTGGGACTAGGGTGACGTAAAAGGCGTTATACGCCATTTGAAGCATTAGGGGTGCTTCAAAGGAAGGCAAGGAAGCGAAGAGGCAAAGAGCCTGAGGAACAATACACGCATTTTTCCCTGCTGTTCAGAAATACTAACACAATGTCTTTGTCCAGCTATGCCCAAAAAAGTGGGCTTATTTAATTCGCTACGACAGAGAGAACAAAATGTGAGGGAAACCGGCCAATGAAGGTAGGGACTGGTAACGGTTTTGGGGAAACGCCTCTCTGTTCCTTCTAATCTTTTCGCTTCCTCCTTCTAAGGCTGGACGCATTGCTTTTTGGTTCGTGTGGTTTGGTCGGCTGTCTGTTAGGTCATAGAGTAGCTTGAAATGTTACCTCTCGAGTCACATTCATAGTCAAATCAAAAAACGGCTGGGAGGCGTTTACGGCAGCAGGGGAAAGGCCAAAAAGGCGCTGTAGGTCCTGGCCTTTGGTCGTTACATTGAAAGAAACTTCAAGCTGTACATCGGGGAAATTGGCGAATAGAGAATGCCCGATATTGACTACGTAAAGCAATATGCACTAAGTATAGAAGCACACAAGAATAATCGAAAATAAAGTGTGAAGCCAAAATAATTCTCTACTGTTCTTAGACGTAAGGAGAGGCATGAAATACGGGGGGTCACGGCTTCCTAGAGCACTACAAGACCAAGCCGGAGGAGTATGCAGGTAAGAGGCAAGGAAAAAGCTACAAGCGACTGAAATAAAGTGAGGAATCCTGGTGTACAAGAGCAGAAGCCGCAAGATAGCCAAGATGACTAGAGAAATCCAATTGCGCTTTCCTGAAGAGCAGCACAGAATGTTTTAACTGGCATCACTACCGTCTGGAGTCTTACCTTCCCTAACATAACAAGCATAGCCCTGGCTGTCTGATCATCAACCGTTACGGGCCCTTTGATTGCCAGGGAATAGACAAAAGGACTTCTATCGGTCACCTCCAAGCGGCGAGAGGCCCGCACCTGAATGTATCTCCCCACCTGAAGAGAATAAGAAAGCGCCCCAACAGTACAGAATGCACGAACGGTTCCCAACACGAAAGCATAAGCCGCTAGAAAAAGCTGAAAAGAAAGTTGTGACCTTCCCTATGCGAAAGAATGCAGGGATCGTCAAGGTATGATCCGTACAAGAAGGGCGTTAAGCAACCATAAAACATGCCGAACAATTATGATGCAACAATGAAAAAAACAAACGATCGAGAGCTAAGGACCTTGGTCACCTCAAAAACGAAAACCAGTGATCACTAATAAGCACAAGACTGAAAGTACATAAGAGAAACAACAGCTTCCAAACTGCGGTGCAAACTACTAGAACGATGCCAGCAATCAAAAGATGGTAAAGGCCAGAACTGAAATAGAAGCATAGGGACAGTAGCAATAAACAGGAGTCCCGCCATAAACAACGGGGACACAAAACGGCAGCACAGCAGTGAGTGAACTGACATGTCGATGCTCCAGCCTAAATGCCTGTCCAACGGATTCGGATACCGTGGGAAATGTAGGGTCCTTCCCTTGCTTTGTGGCAACAAACCACTCAACAACTCGTGCGGCCATCCTTCCATTGGCTCGTGCCGCCAAGTCCTTAAGGCGTACATCTCTGCCTAAGAAGAGAAGCAAAGGATACGAAGGGAAGATGGGACGAACATCACCAAACGAACAGCAACCGTTTTGCGTGTGCGGAGAGCCCCTAAAAGGGGCAGCACACTTACAAGTGCTGCTTCAAGTACTGATCCTGGATTCGGTTGCAATAACATGCATATGGTTTGCTGCTGCCCTTTAGAAACCCACAACCCGCACTGGGAGCCCACTAAGATTCTTACCAACTTCACAGGCTCCATCGATGGCCACAGGGAATCTGGCGGCGTGACGAGCGTTCATCTCTTTTTCTTCCTCCAACCCTGCCTCTGAGTCGCTGTCGTATTTCGAGTTCTTCTGCAGGACAAGGACAGAATGAAGTGCTCAGGGCCGGCATTAGAAGAAAGAGAAACAAAAGGTATCGAGGAATAGATAGAAACGTCGGGAGAGAGAAAAGCTGCACCAAAAAACGAGGTACAAATACATAGAGAAAAACAGATACCGCTCGACAGAAAAACTAAAGAGGTAACGCGAAACAGCAGAGCGCGGAATCAGCTCAAGAATGTTGTACTGCTTAGGGAGTGGGTGCAAGGTTTGTTGGACAGCGGGAAGAGAGAAAATGGAAAGACATGGAAGCAGTTGAGGAAAGCAATGATCAACAAGTATGACAACGTCTGGTCAGCGTGCTCCTTGGCTTTCTTGTATCTCTGATCCTTCCAATTTTAGCTGCACTGATACTTGTACTTGATAATCAGTGACAGTTGTGTGGCTTGTCAAAGGCAAGCAAGTTAGCACGGCATCTCTTGCTGTTTTACTGTAAAAGCGTCACCATCAGCTCTGAGTCCATCTACCGCGAGAATGCAACTGTGAAATGCATCATTTGGAGACATCCAGCTGATAAGGCTTTGAAACTTATAAATCAGGGCTCATAACTTAGGGTAGGGGCTGTCTGGCATAGTGCTTAAGGTCCTCCGTACCAAGAAGTCTAGTGCAGGTCTCTCCACTGCACAGAGGCAAGCTTGATTACCGTGGAGCGGGCAGCCAGTCCTCGCCTGAAGAGCCTGGGCCCTCTGATTGGCCCTTGCCCTGACGATCAAATTAGCAGCACAAGAAGATACAGTACTCCATGTTGAGGAAGAACAAAAGTAAAATTCTCCATTCTCTGAAGGAGAGTAAACCCACGAAGCAGGGTAACACAGGGGAAGGCACAGAAAGAGGCACGAATAAAACAGGTGACAAAGAAATAAGGAGAACTTAAAGAAGGTGCCTTTCTTCTAAAAGCCATGGTAGAAACCATCTGGAAGAAGAAATAGACTGAAGCTTGTAATGCTCTATGCGGCAAGAGGAATTGATATAAAGATCAGTGGCCGAAATCGCGTCAGCATCGACTATTTCAGGCTTGCCCTCCTCGCGGGTCAGACAGTGCAGCTTCTCCTGCTGTGAATATGGGTTCCTCGTGTAATACAAATTGCAGAAGCGAGTTCAGAAGATGTAGAGAGCAGAGCTGAAGGAGGATGACCTTTAAAAAGGCAGAAGGAAGAAGCAGACTTAGGTAAGAAGCCGACACAAGAATATGAAGGTACGTCGGATTCCATAAAGTAAATGCGTACGCCAAGTGTCGACTCTGTTCATTTTCCGATTCGCTTCCTGCGTCCGATATGTCACTTGAATCTGACCGCTCCCTAAAGGCCACTGAAAGAACAGTCAGAGTCCTTCGAAGAATAACGAGACCATGAGTGAAAAAAACAAAAAAAAGCTTTAAAGTCAGGTTTGTGCGATCTGTTGTGTTTGTTCTCCCTGCCTTTCTCTTCAGCAGCGATGCCTCACAAGGTTTGGCATTAAGGATCTTCTTGGCTCCAAAGAAATGAACCTGAGAAACAATCAGTAGAAAGCATCCGCATGAGGAATGAAAAACCTAAGAAAGTACTTATTAAAGCAATCAACCTGCCACCACCACAAGGACATGGGGAAAAATACCCTGATTGCATTCACTGCGTATTTGCACACGTCTTCATAGTATGGAACCTCGTTGGTGCGTGTGCTGCCTGATTTGTTGCTCTGCACCTTCGTTTTGATTTAAACAGTAAGAAAGAATAGAATCGCTCAACGGAAACTCGTCCCTCAAAAGCTCAGGAAATATGGTGAGGAAACGCATCAAAATTTTGAAGTGGACGGAGGAATAACTAGCAACAAGAGAAAGTAAAGCAGAAGGTGTCTACCCCAACCAACGTGTTCATATCTTCCTCTCCCAGTGCATTGGCCATATCATATGTTTGTGGTACTTTCCTGGATTCCAAACAATGCCTTCACAAATTCTTCAAATAGTTCGCATTCTCTAATGTTCTCGAACTCGAATGCCAAAGATGCCACATCCCCCGTCTCAGTTCGAACATAGACTTCAGCAGTCTGCAAGAGCACACACTACTGCGGCAAGAAACATGTAGGTTCCTAGTTTAGGACATGTAACTCCTTCTGGGAACCTGTTCTCCTCTTTCCCCTTCATTCGTAGGATATCCAGATTTGGCGGCCATACAACTGCTCTGCAGATGCAATTAAGGAGAAGACCTCCACAGCGCTACAGCTGAGGCGGTGTGGACCGACGAAAAACCGCTCCTGTCTACCTTTAATAACCTAACAAGATTACTTGTTTTATCCGCGAACTCCGATCCAAACAGAGTCAATAGGAAATGAGCACTCCCCATGCATAGGCGTTCTGGGCACTGAGGACCTCTTGTCCGTCGCAGCTCACCAGGCAACGACGCACGGAGTCAGCACTTCGCTACTACTAGGCCAGTGAGACGTGGCATTCTGTCAACTAGCCAGGTAGCTATATACATAACAGGCTCTGCAGCACCTTAGTAACAGGGGGGCAGCCACGATTGGATTCCCACTGGCAAATATTGCGCTTTTGGCTCACCACGTCTTGTCGTTGCATGTATTTGATTCGGGAAGTGAGAATTTCCTTAAGTTCTCTGCCTGCTCTATCACATAAAAGAATTCGGCACGTTGGGTCATTGACCAGCTTCAAAAGAAATTCCTGACGCCGTCTTTCTATGTTGAAAAACACTCTAAAGTTTCTGTTGCGAAGTTTGGCGCGAGAAGGCGTGAAGCGCTTCACCGTGGGTCCAGAGTGGGTGGCTAGAGCTGCATCAAATGGCGAAATAGGAACGGAAATTAAGTATCAACAAGTTTGAGCTTTCGTGTATTTCCTCGGACGTGTCCGCACAATTCGACTGCTCATTCTGCCTCTGAAGCACAGGTGGTTTCTGTATCAGCAGAAGAAAAAGCACACTAGCGAATTTTCGGCGGCAACGCACCCCGGAACCTGAAGCTAAACATGGTTGAGTATTAGGAGAAAAAAAGGAAAATGGACAATGATGGACCGGCGATGCGCATTTATGCACGTACCTCCTCTTGCAGCAGCCTGCTGCTGCGGATCAAAGAAGAGAACATTCTCCAGCATCCATTCTTCCTCGGGTCGAGTCGATGGCCTTCCATCTGTCCTCGTAGCAGAAGAAGCAGAGGCCCCCATAGGGACCAAAGGGCACCAACTGCAGCATACAATTGCAGCTACAGGGCGCCTCACTCCTACTTCTGGACAAAAGAAAGAAGCAGCCACCAGTGGCTGTGTTGACCAAAACTTGTATGGGAGAGAGGCTACCAGCAGAGCCACCAGCTGCTGCTGCTAATAGAGCGAGTGTTGCAGCCTAGTCTAATCCTGCTGCCGATCCTGCTGCTGAATATCTGGATCCAAATGATGAGTCACGACAAACACGTTCTAAGATGGAGTAGAATGATGCACGCTGGCCATTGGTTAAAGACTCAAGGGATTCTTATGGGACAGGTGCAGATCCACCGGAAAACGCAGGAGCCACAGGATGCGCTAGTTTGGTGGGAACTCACGCATCTTTTGGGCATACAATATTGTTAACATTTTCTAAAAACAGAAAATGAAGTTACTACAAAGGAAGAATGTGGTTGGAATTCCTCCACGTTATCACGGCGAATGGCTTATGGCGTGTGTATGGGGGCCATTGGTCCACAAGCACTGTGACGCGATTTCCTCGCAAAGAGCTTTACTTATTGATTTTACTTATTTAGCCTTTGCAATGAGTCTTAAGACCTACAATGCACTGAATTAACAGCACAAAGGCATCAAAAAATACGGTATATTCCGTGAATTTATCAATTTCTCTAAATATTTCTATATCGAAGCGGAAGGAAGCCAAGCACGAAGTGCGTAGCACGCATTTGCCAGTTTCTTCTACTCACACATGCTTACCTTGCAACCATGGGGAAGGTATTTTTGAGCAGGAGTGAAAGCCTGTCCCTGTTTCCTCATGATTAGCGCTCTAGTACATCACCGTATTTCATCCCCAACTGATTGAACACGCCCGCTTCGATACTTCCAGAGACGTACTAGACCACGTGGTACTAGCTAAAAGGCAGTCCTTTAATGCGGTTGATTCGCACTTCAATCTAGGACACTAGACCGCAAAGGAAGCATCTGCTCGCGTGGTAACTGTGTATCTGCGCACAAATAAAATCCACGCATTTGCGTATGTACACTATTGCTATCAGTTTTCCTTCTCATGTTTCCCGCTAATTCCTGTAGGTCTTGCAGGTAGGGACCTGCATGATTCAATTGAAGTCGCTTACAGGCTACAGTTGTAGCAAGCCAAGCTGCGTTTCGGCATTTTCTAGTAGACTAGTGAAGACTAACTAAGAATTAGTTTTCATTATTTGGTTTGGCTGCTTAGTAGTGCTTTTGTTTTTATGGGAGCGTTAGTGCTACACAACAAGAATCAACGCTGTGTGCATGTGCATTCCTTGCAATGCGCAACTAGGTGTGGGTATTTGGAGTGCTTACAGGGTGCAACATGCACCCTAGCTATCCCTTTCTTCTCATGTCATAACCCCAAATGGTGGGGGCATGGAGAGAAGCAGCTGTATTAAAAGGATACTCAATAGATTTCCAAATTTTGGTACGAGTCTCGGGAGGAAAGTTTTAATGTGTGGATGGCGTATATGGAGCAGTACAACAGCTACCCTCATATCAAAAACCAAGCCGCCAGTAGCAGTCAACTGCGTTACACCTGTGCTGCAAAAATGCTGCAGAGCAACAGTAACCAAAACAGTCATGTGATTCCTAAAGCCAATCAATGTAGGAGCGAGCATGCACGCCTTGTGGAACGGAACCCTAGATTGCCGCATACAGCTCTGGCATCTAAACAAGCCATGTAGCCAATCCGACTCTCTGCATGTCCGACCATAGGCACGTGCATTGCTTTCTCAACAGCTTTACATGCCATGCATGGACGGGAACAACTGCTGCGAAGGACTGTAGACGTTGCAAAAACAGTTTCCCCAGCTGTTTGCCTCAAAACATGCCCAAACTAGTAAAACCTGAATTTACTGGATATCTTCAAGCACGAAACGCCAAGGGAAATGCTGTAAGCGCAACAATGCAGACTTCCACCTCTCACTAGTCATGCTACAGTTTCCCTGCAACGTTCGACAGCATTTGGATCGAGCTACTAGCAATCCTTCAGAGAAGCACGGGTAATTTAGTTGCTCAATTATGCATGTCGTACCAAAGCACATGCACACCCCTTTATTGTATAGCCGTGCTTGATTAAAGTGCATCTTCAACAAATTGGATACATTAATAAGATACGTGAAGGAATTCCAGCCGGTAAAAATACACTCCTAGATTTTATGTCACACTTCTTCCTGTGGTCGTTCTTCATTTGTGGCCGCTCTAACTGTGTCGGCCTCCGCCAATCTCATAAGCAACACAGTAAGCTGTTTTTCCAGAGCCAAGGTTCTCTCCTTTGCCTGTGACTCCCTGGCGGCCACCTCTGCCAGAAGTTCACTTACCTTGATCCCAAGGATCTGAGCTCCTCCCATCGTTTTAATGACCTCCCTGTAAGCTGCGTCGACGCGTTGCACCATGCTATTCCAAATAGCAGCAAGGCCTTCCGTTCTGCCGGATTGGGAGGTTGTAGTCGTCATTAGGTTTTGCAAGTCACTCCTGATAGTGTTAACTTCTAAACAAAGCTCTTCTTGGCGTCGTTTAGTGTCCGAAGAGACAATTCTTATATCCATCAGACCCTGAGCGAGAAGTGAGAAATCTAGTGTGCTGCAAACACCCGACACGCGGTACACCAAGCCATCACTGTTGCTACTCGCCCCTGCGGAAGCGCATTAGCATACATGAGCAGCGAAAATCCTCTTGGCAAACATTATTTGAATTAACCATTAAATAAGCAGCCTACCAACGGTTAATCAGCTGCCCAGTTTCGTCGCTGCCAGTCTCCCAATGCCGAACACTAAAGTAAAGTAGCCAGCTAGCTCGCTGGCGCGTATTTAAAATATTAAACAACTTCGGTGCCCAAACGATCTAGCTGGCTCTACCTGAAGCAAAAATATGGAACATCATGTTGGGGTCTCCTGTAGCAACGGCGTAGCCATGTGGGGGCATGGCTGCTAGGGGGGAGAGGAGGAGAATTTCAAACCACGCAGACACCTCTACATCAAAGGCGTTCATATCTGTAAAAGATGAAAATAGTACAACACGAGCCACCTATGAAGCAACACTAATCACCATAGAGAGCCAGTGGGGTCATCTTTCAGGGCCTCAATCAGGGTAGCAGCCGCAGCATGTAATCACGAAAAGCACAGAGATGAGGAAAAGTTAAGACAGCGATATTGAAGACCTTAGTATCACCGGATAAATAACATGCAGAAGCTTCAGGGTCCTACCAAAGTATGAAATCTCCCATCCCATCCAATGCCTGCCCATTCCGCCGAATATGAAGCATCGGGAGCCAAACGTCATCATAGAATGCCTGAAGGAGGACGCAGAGTTCGTATGGAGAAGCGCTAAGGAGGGAACAACAAACAGTGACGCCTTCTTTGCAGAAACCGCTATAGAAAAGGCGTGTTCCGAAGAACGTAGCAAAGAACAAGTACGGGGAACACCCACAACGAAGCGAAATCATGCCAGTGGCATTATTAAAAGAAAGAAAACTAGTAGAAGCAGGGAAAAGCTCTACACTAGAGCGGGCGACACCAAAATAAGGATAGATGAAGGCCGAAACAGAGGCTCACCCATGTCTCCTTGCTGGCGGTCTTCCATCCGTATCGGTAATGCGTTTCCAGGTATTTGTCTTGAGCTCTGATTCAATATCTATAGACCATAAATCGTCAGAATCACTGCCGTCCACTAGGCCCCCAAACAGTAAGAGCTGTTCGCTCCCATTGGAGCTGCAGATAGCGCTCACAGCATGGTGCGAACGGGCAGCAGGCCTCTCCTTCGCACGCAGTTCCTTCCATTCGCCTGAGAATCAAGGAAGCCGAAGCATGGGACTACAAAGATTGCACTAGAGACAACTAACTGGGCGAAAATCAAACGGCTAGACGAAGGACAGTTTTGAGAGGCAGATAAACTCTCAAAAGGCTGGGTATGGTCAGTCACCCAGGCAGCACACCAGGTACAAAAGAGCTGTTAACTTCCATTACGGCCCTCACAGGCATACCCAGAACAGGCGTGTTACAAATATTTAGAGCTAAATCCCATAGCCTATTGACTCTCCCACAAGGTCCCAAAGGGGAACAATAGCCAATACTCTCACAAGCATCAGCTACAGATTTGAAGCGCGACCGCATGCTCAGAAAAAAGGTATACGTGACATACGCAAGAGTATCGAAGCTAACAAGAACTAACGAAGACAACAGCAGAGTTACAACTGCAAGCATACCCTTAACTAGCTGGAAGGCACTTTCTAGTACCTTGCCATTTTCGCCTTCTCCCCCCGAGACGAAAAACACGTTCGTGCGGCTGGAAAAGGCAGCTGCATGGTTGCATCTCCTATCAGGGGTCTTTCCGCTGCAGCGAAGTTTCTTCCATTTCCTAGGGCCCTTACTGTAAAACCACAGGTCACTGAGCAGCTCATCCTTTTCATCTTTGCCTCCAAACAGAAATGCCCCGATATCTCCATGCGGCAACTCAGCAGAGGTCAACGAGACCCCAACAACCGCCTCAGGCTGGGCATCTAGGTCCACCTGCTCTTCTAGCCTGAGTGGGCAAAACAATCGGACTAGGATGAATCAGGACAAAAGGACAAATGTGAAAAAAAGCAAGCAACGTAATGATGCTATCCAACTGCAAAGTGCAGCCATCGGGAGAGACATGTGTATCAGTTTGCACGGGATAAGAACCTTCAAACCACTAGCTGTCTTCTGAGAAGTGGGCATAGTACAGAAAGAAACAGGAGAGGGAAGGAAGGAGAGAGAGGTAGTGACAGCGGGTACACGAGGCACAATGGCAGTGCACTAGTTGAAAGTAGACAAAACCTTCGTACGTTTGTCTTCTAGGATCATACAAGGCCCATGAAGCTGGTTCCGCATGGTCTCTGACGATCCACAGCGCTACCAACCCCTTCAAGTCTGCGGCAGTAAAGCTGGCGACTCCTTGGCATCCCGACCATTGAGCGGCTAGGCTGAGAATGAAATCAGGGGGAGAGCTGCCTCTGTCAGGAGGATGAAGCTTTGCCTTGGCAGCTTGAGCCTCTTCAGCTTCCCGTTTAGGGGCCCAGTGAACAAGGTTTTTTAAGGAATGTTGTAAACGATGAGCCTGGGCAACTGTCGCATCACGCAGTTTCAGCTTCTGAGTTCGATCCTTATCCTCCACCAGGTCAACCTTGTGTACAACAATAGTCATGTTGCTCTCCGAAAGATGGCTACCAGAAGATTCCTCAGGGAGGGTCTTCCGAGGTTTTTCAACTGTCAGTAAGTCATCTGAGGAGTCTTTGTCTGGTGGTGTTTCTTTAGAGCTGCTTCTGAGTAGATTTTCTTTTTGCCTGCTCATTTTTGTGGCTGTATCCTCACGTGAATCTCCTTGGATCCCCTTTGAATCAGTCGGCATTTTGAAGATAAGGCAAGACCTTCGGTGCCCGCGGGTCACTCAGGCCTTGCACGTGTTGTGGGAGAAGAACGAGACAACGGGGTGCAGCCGCAGGCATCACCAATACCAGAAGCTGCAGCCTGAGCAACACCAGTAACAACAGCACGAGTTGCGGGTGGCTCCTGTTTCTACGGGAAGGCATGACGAAATTGGCCCCAGTCACTGTGAAGGCTCGGGAACAGAATGCCCATTTCTGTATGGTTTCTAAGTATACACACTCGGTTCTAGCAACACCGTCCTCGGTCTGATGTGAGCTCTACCACTGCGGAGTGGAGAGGAGGGGACAGAAACATAGCAAGCAGGAGAGCAGACAGAAGGCTAAATCGAAAGAGGGAATATGCGGCTCGTGCTCCCTAGAAGAACTCCCTCAGCAGTTGCTTCCATATAAGAGAACAGAAAAAAGGAATAAAGGGGTTTAAGGCTAGTACAGGGATAGTGGCAAGGGCTTTGGGATGATTGGCTTACTGCTGTAGCCTTGAGCGCGACCGTTCGTTGTGTGGCCGTTTGTGTTGCAATAATCCATTCCGATACGCGCGAATGAAACAACGAGTAGATGCGTCTCACATTTGTTCATGTATTTTTACCGACAAAAATATCAAGGTAGGAGACAAGACTGGTGAAGAAACGGGGTGTGAGCCAGCCCGGTCACCTCGATTCGTGTCCCCATGACAGTCACCATGTAGTGGGTCTTCTCTGCGTAATCATTGACTGCAGTAATCTTCCAGGGCGTTTTCCTGCTTTAAGCGTGACTACTGTGGATTTATGGAGTGCTAGAAAAAGTTGAGGAAAAAGTCTGCTAAATGCCAGCGTTTGGGCACGCTAGCTGCTAGAGTCGTCTGGGGCAGGTACTTTGGAGGCAGTATCCGTCATGAGTGATGTATCTTAGAAACAGAAATCATCAAAAGCTGAGCAACGCTAGTACCTTATTGAAGACATATATGCTGAAGAAGTAATCCTTCTTACAGCTGCACTGCAGAGATTAATCCGGTGTACACTACTCGCCCCTCCCCCTCTCCTGTAGAGTTGTATGTGCTCTACTGCGGCATTTCAGTTACTTAGTATGCTTAACTGAACGTGCTTTAAGAAAAGTCATTCCTTTCGAGAGGCATGCGGATGGGGCTCTAAGGATCTTGCAAACGGTCTAGCACTATTGCAGTGACTAGCGACACTTCAACGGCATTCAGCGCCTGTCTGAGATATGAAGGTCTAAACTTTAAGAGACACTTGGAGAAAAGGTTTAAGTAAACGCGTCGTTCTTTATATTGCGTAGGACAGCGTAGCCGGATCACTGTTTGATTTGCCGCCCGCATGCAAAGCCGATCCTATGTCAAGACTAAATGAAGCAAAACATACATCTAGCAGAAGAATATTTTCGCGAGACTCCTACAGCCTGGTCGACTTGTTGCGGGATCGTTCTCCCTTTTTTATAAGTCTTCTTTCCTCCGCAAAAACAGGTTCACTTTCTACTTGTCGAAGCGCCCTACAGCACTGTAAATCTTGTGCCCTATTTCCCCTTCAAACGCCGGATTTATCGAGCTCTTCTGAAGCCGTCAGTTAGCCTGTAGTCACACACCTGTTCAGAATCGCTGTTCACTGCCGCTTGAATACTTGCTGACTACTTTGTGCGAAGAGGAGCACGACCCCCCTCCGACATCGAGCTAAAAAATGTGATTGCGGTTCCAAAAAAGATTGACTAACCTTTTTAAAAGGGGTATGAAGGGCTCTTCCACCTAGAGTGTTTCTGGGATATGCAGTTCGCAACTAGCTCGTAGCAAACATCAAGGAAGAAGGCGCCTTCTAATTTTCTCCACTGGGGTCTTCCGACTACTACGACTCCTGCTACTGAAGCCTTAAAGTGCGATTGTGCTGATGCGCCACCGTGTCTCTTCCGACGGATTGTAGCGCTCTGCCTAGTGCCGCCTTAGGGATGCCCTTTACCCCAAACCAAATGCAGAACGTATAGGAGCTACCGAATCCCTGCCACCAAAACGCTCGTGCTCTCCATGACCTAAGATTTAAGGGCTCCGGAATGAAGAAAAGGAACAGGTAGTGTGCGGACAGCTGCATCCTTCACGCACTCGGATCACAAACTTACAGCTTATCATTCTTACTACCCAGCGCGCGGACACATACAAGACTCCGTCTAACAGCGAGTAAACAATGCTTTGCAGTAAGAGATACAAACAAAGTCAACCTTCTAACTCTTGATTAAAAGGAACTACTGCAGTGGAAGGTGTTTAAGTGTTGCTTTGCCCACTGTAGTTAGACAGCCAGTACTTCGATCTCCATCGCGCCTTCTACACGACTCTGTAGTACACACTAAGCGTTCTCTGTCTGTGCAGCATCCGTAGTCCCCCCGAATCACGCGTCTACGCAAAAACTGGCGCAAACCTCCCCTTATCTGTCTTCTATTGTCGTTATCGCCTGAAACGTGAATACGCTGACAATAATTCGGTGAGTATAGTCTGATTTTAACACGTAACGAAGAAACATATTCTATTTAACCTCGGTGCAGCCATGCCTGCATGCACGCAAGAGTGCTCAAAGGCACTCCTGCAAGAAGGGGCCGCTGCACTACTCCGAAGTGGCCGCATAATATCATTCGAATATTTCCTTTAACTACAAACAGACGCGTATTCCGTGCCCCCGAGAGGCAGAACCGCCCACTCAAGCACCTAATCCTAAACCCTTGAACCAACTGCTCCGGGTAGCGTCCTCTCTACCATCCAGCTTACGAGCAAAATGAAGAGTTCGCTCTGCAGCGCCATCACTGTGGTTGTCAGCTCCTCTGGCAGGCAGCACCAAAAGAAAGAAATATAAGCCGCAACAGGCGATGTAAGGCCACCCCTGTGCTCTGCCCCAGTTGCTGTGTATCTTTACCTGCCTAGGGCCTCCAACCGCGGCCCAACAAACAACCGCAGCAATATTCCATTCCTCCCGGCCCCTCCCCCACCTTACAACAGGCGCACAAGCAGCTGGTAGCTGTGTTGAGTTAAAACTTCATGGCATGGGGAGCCATGTTAGCACGGAGAGTGAAGCGATTCTTCAGGTATTGCTTTAGAAGCGGGTCCTTGTCAACGACTGAGAGTAGTGCCTTGTCGACCTTATCCTGCAGCTGTTTTCTCTCTTCCGGGAGGGTTTTCTGACGGGTGTCGTCCTGTTTAATAAACATGGATGTGTCATCCTTGGTCTTCATCTTTCTGTCCGCCCGCCTTTCCTTGCTGGTCCTGGTGAACATACTGTCGGTCACCTCTTTAAGATCCACTCTAGACACATCCACCTTCGTGCTAGTTGCAATCACATAGCGGGGGTTTACGCGGCGCAAGGGAACGCCATTAACAGTGAATGGCCCAGTAACGAGCAGCAGCCCTGATGGCTCCATCTGCTTGAGGCAGATCACACGCTTGCCCCTGTAGCCGCTGCTGAGCAGAATAAGAACGCTTCCAGGAGTGATGCTCTTTCTCAGCTTGCTGTTGGTCTTGCCTGCAGCCTGGCGCTTCAAGGCGATGACTCTCCTGTCCTTTCTTCTCAGACGGAAACGACCAGCACCCGCGCACCGGCCCCCCGTTGGGGCTGCTGCTGCCTTCTTTGCCTGAGTCATCGTGCTACGAAAGCAGCAGATATTTCCTTTTAAAAGGCGAATTACCCACACAACAAACCCACCGGTGCCAGTCTGCTAAATGCAGGGCATGCACAAGCAGCACGGCAGCGGCCGTCTGAGGGGCGTGGGGTGGGGAGAGCTGCAGTCGCCGCTGCTGCTCGACAGCCCCAACCAGCACGCAGGCCCGGCGGTGAAGTCGAGCAGTGATTTCTTCACTTATATTCACGCGATTTGAACTCTAAGGTTTGAGAATTCACTATATTGGATCCAGCATGCACAAAAGCCCTAAATGAGGATGAGGGGGGAAAGAAGGATGCCAAAACCCTACGAGCGCGTTTTCCGTCCGGCAGGCATGTCAGGCGTTGTGTGCTGCTACGCGCATAGGAGAATTGATTACAGATTTATCAACTGGTAAAACTTGCTATAAGCAAACCAGAATTTCGTGGCATTGCATTATCCACAGGATGTGATGCCCTTAAAGTGCATCATTGCGGCAACTTGTAGACACTGTAAGTAGTCAACTCTCGAAGGCCACGAATGTCACACACGGGAACTCAAAAACGGCATAAAGGCACAACCTCCCCACATTGTACTCCGGTAAATGGTAAGGACAGCAGAATAATGCCAGCTGGAGTTGTTTTTCAGGCTACATTGTGCTCCATCGCTTACGCGGCGTCTAAGGTCCCCGTAGGACACTTTGCTCCATACTCAATAAATGTCCTCCAAGAGAACACCTGCCTTCCCCTGATCAGACCCTTCAATGTTCCCAAACAAGGGGAGAGAGACAGCGAGAGTGCGTCTAGCTGCACTCGATGAGGACTTCGAGCGTTCACAACTAGTTGCACATGGCATATAGCTCACACGCACACAAAATTGCTTCTTTTGCATAGAGCGAACAGTGGTCTGCAGTAAGAAATACGAACAGGCGATTTCATTAGTCACTTCTTTGCTAGACATTTATGCAAAGTAACTCGTGTAGTAGAAAACAATTAGGGGCATTTTAGCCCGCTACAAAGTCATCGCGCCGTCGCGGTCGTGTTGGCCTGGTTTCTCGTTCATTTTTGGCTAGCATAACTGTCTTTATTCCATTCAATTATACGTTTGCGCTCGATGCGCACCAAGTTCTTCTTCTCTGCCTGCATGAGGCGTGGCTGGAATACGGAAACTGTTCTGTCGTCCTGCATGGAGTTGGCGGCAAGGTACAGGTAAGCAGAACGAAAAGCACTTGTTCGGATCTGGAATAAATATATACCGATAAACTCTGTACTTGAGTGGTGGTGCAAATGTAAGCGAAGTGCGCACAAACCGCGAAAATGAAATCGACGGAAGTAGAGATCGACACACTAGCCAAAAACGAACGAGCGACCAGACCAGGACAACGGCGGCGGGACGATGGCTCTCCTTCTTCGGGGCGCTGGAATATGTGAGCCTCCTACTACAAGGAGACAGAAGACAATTTTCAACATGCACACTACTTCAGCAGTGCCTCCGCGCCTCATAACAATATCTGCAAGCAAGTACAATCCGCTCATACAGAAAAATCTTTTTCAGAACTTCAGAAAAGGCATTGGGAAGAGTATAGAGGCAACATACCTGGGAGCACCCGCGCATAATTTTGCGTCCAGTGAACACCTTTACCAGTAATAACAGAACGTTCAAGGCAATACACATAAGTGACGGTAGCTATTTACAGCAGAGCACGGGCTGCGAAAGAGCAACTACCCCAGAACGCAAGGAGTAACTACCATGACAACCGACGTTATGAACCCAACACAGTCGCAAATTTCCCGCCGGAAACGAGGCCTGCAGCTACTCCTTCGTCAAACACTAGGGCCGGTGCTTCCCACCCCTTTTCATCAGACGATCCCGTCCAGTTTGTGCTCAGCACTCAATAATTCTACGGCTCAGCACTACTAAGGCTTTATGGGGTGCTTCCATCTCGGTTTCAAGCACTTTCATGCGCGGCAAAGTCTGCCAATGCCTCCAATAGCTTGAAGCTTCTGTAAGAAGCCAAATTTAGCAGCTCTTTGACACCACCAGCTATAAGCAAATCGACTGAAGCAAGAAAGATCACTGATTTGTAAATAATTCGCAAATGGTCCTAGCCGCATAAAAGCAAGTTTCCTTAGATGGTCACAGCGTGGTGCACCTCGCACAGCCTGCCAGTCCAACGGGCCCAACTTTTCAGTCTCGAAATACACAACCGACCGCCGCATGTCATAACTCCTTACTTGTGTCTCATTATCTTTGCGCACAGTTTATCGCTCGCGAGCCATCTGTGCACTAGAACCCTTCACCGCTAAAGGCGGCTGCTGACGTGGGGACACCCGGTCCGGGCCAGGATCCGACAGGTGCTCTTCAATGTGCACCAGCGATACGAAAGAGCAAGGAGCAGGCAAGGGCACTAATTTAATAAAACTACTCTGCACAAGGAAGAAATTAAGCCAATCAATTGGATATATGGAAGCTTGTTTTGCATATGCTGCAGAAATGTGTGATTGTTGCGCTTTTTTGGCCTGTTCATCTGCCTTAAGGTGTTTCACAATTGCCATATTTTATGGTCAACGTGTATGCAGATTATGAAGGCACCACAGAACGCACTTACGAGCTTCGGGTCCTTATCCGTAATGATACTTCTGAATAAATCAGGAAATCTTTCAGACATGAGTCGAGAACAATTGACCGGCTTCTGCTGTTACAGGGCTCGACTAGGGGAGAAAATGGGCGTATTTGCTGATTCTGTCAACGACAGATATCCTGACCCAGAACCTCTGGCAGGTTAACAACAGATTTCGTAGTCAGAATAGTCCAGTTCAAGGCAAGAAGAGGCTAATAAAAGGCAGCGTACAGGAGAGCTACTTTGGCTTCTGCTGCTGACAATCTGGGCATAACAGTGCTTACTTCTATGCGCCGCGACGTATCTCAGACCACTAGAAAGGCCATAAAGGCCTCCTCACTACAGCATATCCAAACTTGATGAGGAGATGTAAGATATTGAGTTCTGTAAACTCTCGGTAAGGCACCTCAAGAAACCGAGGGTCGGTCTGAACAATTATACAACGCCCAAATCAACAGTGTTGGCATTCCTCACCCTCTTTCACACGGCATTTCTTTTCTTTTCTTCAACTAGTTATCTCTATTTTGTGTCCTTATGGCGATGAGAGTAAAAAGGAATACTATAATTTCATGGAGAGCCTCTAGTGGGCTAACATACGCTGAACTACTTGCTGCTGCATTAGTCAACTTCGAATCGGTGAAGAATTAAATGGTGATTTTTCTGTAGTAGGGCTTGCCTAGTGCAGAGCACTGCTAACTCGATGCAAGGAGAGGCAATGTTGTGTGCTAGTGCGTTATACGCTACGCGCATCCAGCTATGACTGCTCGGACTGCTTGAAGGGCGCAGATACATGCACCACAGCTGTCCCTCTTTCCCCTAAATTGGGATCTTTGGCAAGCTTGGGCAGAGAAAAACGAGAGTGCTCTGTGCAAACACATCCAATCTCTTTCTACTAGGTATGCATTGAGTGTGGAGCTAAGTGACTCCCTGGGTAGACCTCAAATGGAGCATTACACGTAGCCTGCTGGGACAGAAAAGCATCCACCTCTGTGTCACTAGCATCCTTGTTTGAAAGAAATGAAGCTCGAACTTCGGCAGCGTGAATACCAGAGCAGCTGCGAAAAAGGCGATATGTGTCACACGTTTCCTCGTTGTGATAAGAGCCTCCTGTCCAGGTAACGGGCAGCTTTGTTTTAAGTAGATTAATAAGAGGAACAATGATCTAAATAAACCCAAGAATAAGCTGCAGTTATAAAATGCAGGCCCATAGAACTCTGCAGGATTTTCGCGGGTGCGCAAAAGTAAAGGCCACGCTTTTATGATGCAGCGTTTTCGGTCCTGGCTCAATTTTCCTTATTCAAAGCACTGAACATAAGGAATACAACTGCTATCACAAAAAACAAAGCGGAACAGTGCGTGCCTTTACGTGCTTGTCCTGCACCAGTTGAGGCGCACGTCCTAGCTGCCTTAGCTACTCTTGAACGCGTCCGCTTAACGATCATAAGGTCTCGTCCACACACGCATCCATTCACGCTACTTGATAGGCTCACTAAAACCACGCTGCAGCTTAATCAGCACATTATCAGGCAAGCAGTCCACTAATTGTGGAAGTCCCTCGAGTCTGTTGCTTACGCGCTGAGTCGTTACCCAGCCTGCAACCACCTGACGTGACACTTTGAGTACACCCGTGATACACCACTAGAAAAGCAGCTGCCCGTCCGCACTTTGGCTTTTGCAGGGAGAGCTGACTATTCTGAACAAAACGATTTATTGAGTGATTTCGTGCTTTAGCATTGTCAGTTCCTCCAAGCCTTGCAGTTGAGGTGAGCTCGGCATAAAGCGATGACTGAGGGCTTCCATGAAGGATTGAACTACAGCAGTCCCTACAGGTGATGACTTTCTCTACATGAACAGAGCAACCATTGAGGCGCCTCTCCCTTCACCAACCTTTTCGCAAGAAGCCCTCCTTTCTTTTCTTCTCGCGGTGTACCAAATGAGGTACATGTTCAACTGGCGAACGATATCTCCGAGTGCTTGCCCAGCCTTCCTTCTTGTCGGCCCATCCCTATAGGCACACCCATAGACATTTAATTGGACAGCTAATCATGCCTGTCTAAAAGCTGAGGAGACATTGCGTCCATATCGGCTTGCAAGCTGCCCTCCGTCTCTCCAAGAGGCGGAGCATTATTGTCAGCTCCAAGCTCCGAATTTTTGTTATCTGATTGTGTCAGAAGAAAACCGGCTGATCGAATTACCAAATGACTTGTTTAAAGCAGGCAACTGTGGAAGGGAAAACTGGCATTCCATTGCATTCACAGCCAGTGGATGAGCAGAAAGCACTTGCATAAAAATTTGCGGTGCTACTAAGTAAAGTTTTATTTGAAGTGTCCGTAAGGAGAAGCGTAAATTTATTTTCAGCGCTAACTTACTACACAGCTACTGA